CACACCACCACTACCACACCTCACTCTCTCACACACATTCCCTCCACATCTTCTTTCTTCCCCTCGATCCATCCTTTGAGACAGCTTTGCCCTTTGTGCCTGTGCCCTTATCGGGATCGCTGTTCCCATTGCCTACAATCAATTATAATCTTTTTTCTTCATCAACCGCATCGCCAACCCACCCCTGCACCCTTTTTTTTTTACGCGACAGACCCGTCACGTCACGTTGGCGCTCCGAGGATCCAACTCCATCGCCAGCTCCCGTCAGCTCCAACGAGTCTTCGGTAAGCGACACCTACCACAGACCTCACCATCATTCTCTTCTTTGCGCGCCATCTATGCGCTCCTACCTGCCCTCAAGCTGACGCGACGATTTAGCCCCTTCCTCCGATCGAGCCCATCGTCGACGCGACCTGGAAGACACCACTCCTCGATTGCCGCCAGCGCGCATCGCAAACTTCCTTTGAACGTACCCAATTCAATCGCCAATTTTACGCGCTTTGTCCCACACTTCCGAAATGCCTTCTGCTACAGCTCACGAGCGGCACCTGCCCGCAAAGCGCAACACCCTCATGACTGAGGATGTGCCCCGTTGTACGAACAATTGACTGCGCCTAGCACTTTGTGCTTGCTAACCAGACTCCAGACGATGACCTCGTAGCCCGTCGTCGACTCGGTCAGACTCAGCTGACGGCCAAGATGGTCAACCTGGCCGAAGGGGAAGGCGCTGCTCTCGGTGTATTCGACTATGCCCACCTCCGCGCTCCCTTGCCCAAGGGTATCGTCTCTGGCATCTTCAAGTCCAGCCCTAACAGCTACTTCTTGATGCGACGCAGCCACGACGGCTTTGTTTCTGCGACAGGAATGTTCAAGGCCACTTTCCCTTACGCCGAGGCCGCCGAAGAAGAGGCCGAACGCAAGTACATTAAGTCACTCGCTTCTACCAGTCCCGAGGAGACTGCCGGCAACGTCTGGATTCCTCCAGACCATGCATTGGCGCTGGCTGAGGAGTACGGCGTTGGGCCTTGGATCCGCGCCCTACTGGATCCCGCGACTATTGCCGTTTCCAACACCCCTGATAGCCCTCCTAAGAAGATTACGGCGCCCCCCAAGTACGAGCTTCTCAAGGCTCACCCTCAGCTTGCTCCTCCTACCCCGACTTCACTCCCTCGTAGCACTCGATCTCGCCGCTCAGCAAGCCCTACCAAGGCCGCCGCTGCCACGACACTCCCTAGACCTGTCCGATCGCCCAGAAAGCGCCGGGCCAAGGCCGACTCTGTTGAGCCTAGAGAATCTACGCCCACAATTGCCACTAAGCTGGAAGTCAACGGCGTTATTGAAGAGGACAAGGACGCCGAAGCGGAGATCAAGACCATTGTCAAGACTGTCGAGACGGAACCAGTGCTTGTATTCGAGGCTAGGGAAGAAGAGCCCAAGGCCAAGGTCATAGTTGACCAAGCTATCAAGACGGATGAGGACGGCAACGAGACTAAGCACACTGCCGTGTCACTAGAGCTTCCTCTGTTGAGCGCAGAGCCACCATCTGCCGAGGAGACTGCGCGTATGATTGCGGAGGCGAAGCAAATGGTCGAGGCGGCCGCCATCAAGTCAGAAGGCGTTGACAGTCCCAAGGCCAAGAGCAAGCGTGGAGCCGAAGAGATTTCAAAAGGAGACGATGAGGATGAGGAGAAGGAGGTCGTCGAGGAGCCGCGGTCGAAGAAGGCCAAGACCACCGAGGTGCAGGTCAAGAAGCTCCGCGTACGGAACCGGGCTTTGTTTGGTCTGAGTGCCGTGTCACTGGCCGTTGGGTATGTATCTCTGATTTGCTCATTGCCATCTGGGACTGAAATCGGCTAACAAAATTTGCAGCGCATTCTCGTACTTTGTTGGTTCTTTCTGAGACGTCATTTGACGTGTCGGGAGCATTTCGGGGGGCTCTAGGTTACAGTGAAGACGGTTGATACAGTCGTGGAATATCAGATATTCTGACTGCCTCAAGCCCGTTTTCCAGGCCGAGGACTCGGCGGCAGCCTTTCTATATCGTTTTATTGCCTTACTCATCATACCCAGATAGAGCCCGAGGGCACTCGGGCCAGCTTTCTTTTCACTCGTTGCTTGTGGAATATTGGGTGGGATCAAATAAGTGTACATTGAGATCGTCTCCACGGGCGATAGGGGGATACGCGGGAGGGCAAGGCCGTGGTTCAGGATTGAGGCAATTGTAGTTGATGTATTGTTTAGGTATTTCTCTGCTTTTCGGCGTCGAATGGGATACGGTGCATGCGTTGCAAGAGATGCTTCTTCGAGGCGCTATCTTCGTGACAATTATGTCGCTCGTAAGCAGTTAAGGGGTGTTATGTCGTTGACCCTAATGAACGTGTGCAATATGTAACTATCACGACTATGATACGTTTTGTGCTTGTGAAGCCAGCTACCCGGATGCTCCATTTCGCTCAAGCAGAGCCTCATCCGGTTTTTGTCCGAGTCACTCCACAACTTTCCTCAATGTAGTACCCGCCTACATAGCTTAGTGCATGGTATGATGCGAGGCTTGGGTTGTTGACCGGCTTGTATGTTACAAGTTGGCCGTACGAGGCCCTTGTCCCTAAGCTATCCCAGCCGCTGCTGGTAGAAAACAATGGCCCAACCGTCTATTACTCAGTCACACGTCCCATTATTTCATGGAAGGCCCTTGGCGAAGAGTCAGTTCCTCGCCGAAATCTCCACCACTTATCCCTATAGTCTCCATCGTCGTCTCAACTGTCTCCATCGGCAATGGAGATGATGTTTGTCAAACTGATGTCATTCGGTCCACATGCCACGGCATATAAGAAATCAGAAATTTCTCACGATGTCTGACAAGCGGAAAGTAATTCTTCTCCCACTCACCTTTCTGTCGTGAGGGGAAGGCTAAGTTCGGATTTGACCTTTTCCCAAGCGACGTCAGTATATGCGTGCGCTCTCCCGGCACCATGCGGTATTCTTAGCATCATCTGCAAGGGGCGCGGAACCACTCTTTTCTTCTCCAATTCGATCAGGGCCGCTCCCGCAGACGCACCAATGCATGGGTTGGGAGACACAGGTCTCGGATGACGGGGTGAGGGGCCAAGGGCCAAGGTCCAAGGTCGCCCGCGTGCATCATTCGGGGTAGACACGAGCGGGCATGGCTAACACCGGCAATGGCCGGCTCCCCGGATAACCGTTGGCTTGCTCCCCCGCAGCGCGCAAGCGGGTGAAGTGGAAGTGGAAAGCTGGGGTTACGATCGGCTGGAGTGCCCGTCTCTCATCCAACTTTGAACAAGAGCATTGTACACTTACATCTTTCCGGTTTTGAGTGTGCTCTGTCTCCTTCTTTTCACTGTCACTCAAGTACCTGTTGCTTTTCCTCATCTGAAATTGGAATACATTTCACAAAATGCGGGCAGCTTCCACATTGCGAGCTCTGCCGAGACTCGTTCAACAACAGCGCGGCTTTGCGACGACGCACCGACGATTGGAGAGTTATGGCTTCATCGGCTTAGGACAAATGGTATGGCCCTCCTAAACTCAATGGCATTGAACCCCTCATGAAGCTGACCGTTCCATTTCAGGGTTACCAAATGGCCAAGAACCTTCAGTCCAAGTTGAGTCCCAAAGATGAAATTCGCATCTTTGATATCAATAAAGACGCCGTCTCCAACCTGGCAAAGGAGATGGACCAGTCTCAGGCCGGCGGCGCAAAGGTTGCTGTTGTTGACACTGCACGAGATGCGTCAATTGAAGCTGTAAGTTACCGTGTTTCGTTTTTCCATCTTTCAAGATGGCCCATCTGTGCTCGTATGATGCATTCTTAAAACTGTTTTGCCAACTATGAGGCGGCCTACATCCGTCCACTGAGTAAAGCAACTTCCTAAGTCTTCTGACCTCGAGAGTCTCATGCCGTATTTCTTCAAGCTCCAATTTCTGTACCAAGGGCATGAATACTAATACGACTCACCAGGACACCGTCATCACCGTTCTCCCCGAACCATCCCACGTCAAAGCAGTCTACGCCTCCATCCTCAAAGACCTGCCCTCCCGCAAACGCACCTTTATAGATTGCTCCACCATTGACCCCTCCTCGTCCCGCGAGGTCGCCGCCTCGGTCTCGGCCTCAACCAGCAACCGGGGCACTTTCGTCGACGCCCCAATGTCCGGCGGCGTCGTCGGTGCCACGGCCGGCACGCTCACCTTCATGCTCGGCTGCGACGCAACGCATCTTCCCACCGTGGAGCCGACGCTCCTGCGTATGGGCAGGCGCGTGTTGCACTGCGGACCGCAGGGGACGGGGCTCTCGGCGAAACTGGCGAATAATTACCTACTGGCCATTAACAACATCGCCACGGCTGAGGCGATGAACCTGGGCATGAAGTGGGGGTTGGATCCCAAGGTTCTCGCGGGCGTGATCAACGTTAGTACGGGCAAGTGCTGGCCTAGCGAGGTGAATAACCCCGTCAAGGGTGTCGTCGAGGGGAGTCCCGCGGGACGGGATTATAAGGGCGGGTTCGGGATCGGGCTGATGCGCAAAGATCTTGGGTTGGCCGTCGTTGCTGCGCGGGAGGCTGGTGCCAAGTTGGAGTTGGCGGGCAAGGCAACCGAGGTGTATGCTTCTGCTGAGGCCGAGGAAGAGTGCAAAGGGCGGGACTTTTCCGTCGTTTATCGGTACTTGGGAGGCAAGGAGTGAAAAACAGTCATCCGTCGAGCTAGGATGTTAGATTTCTAGGGCCTTTGGGAAAACTACACTTACCAGAACTATGAAACCATTCATCGATAGATGTCAGACCACCCCGCAGTTGAAGGTCCTGGGATTAGCCGTTTGTTCTTTCTGGTACCTGCCAGTGCCTTTGTCTCTGCCCTCCACCACTTCTCTCTCACTTCAGCCTCTTTCTCCCCAAGATGGTCTACGCATAAGTCGCATCGAATCGCCTTTGGCTTCGGACGACGGTGTTGTGGCTCGATGAGAGTGTAGCCCAACGCTGTTTTCAAGACTTCAAACTCAAGTCCCGAATGATGGAGTGCCAGATCGGAAGCGGACGGTTCAGGGACAGTGTCGTAGAGGACGCCGCAGTGTTGGCGGTTTTGCCGTTCAGGATGACAGCGCAACAATGCTCGAGGACTCGTCGACGTGGTTTTCCTAGACGGGTGTTGCAGATGCTGCACATGTAATGGATTACGTCTGTGACACACATTGTGAGCAAAGTTGTCATGGGAATTACTTACAAAGACTGCTTTCCTATCTCATACAATATGTCTGGCTGTTGGAGGATATTCTAGATGAGGTTATCGACAGTTTTCCGTGGAAAATCTAAGGGAAAACATTTAGCTTATGTGTAGAAGTCAAGTCAATGTCTAGGTGTGACCCGTGAATATTGTTGAGGGGACTTTCTAAATATCAACAAACGTTGTTTCTTAAACAATAAACAATCAATTCTTTGTCGATCCACTGGTAGACAGATCTTGTAGACTTGGTTTGTCGATATGAACATACTCGACAAAGCTCACAGAAAGGCAGAGTTGAAATTCACTGAATATTGTGTCAAATTCTTTGACAAAGTGCAAACCCTCAGTCTAATAGGCTTCGAGAGGAGGCTTAGCGCCTTCGCGCCGGTTCCCAATTGATCTGACTATCTGTCGAGAACAGTGTTTCCATGATCCCTTCTTCATCCGTCTAATACCATCTTCTTTATTCTAACGTCCTTTTTTCGACTCTTCATGCGGACTCGCGCCCAGACTCGATCTTGGTATTTTCAGGTGTTGATGTTGTTGTCGCCTCCGACTTCTCTCCGACAGATGCCTTGCGAGCGTTCGCCATTTGCGGGAAGAATAAACCCGGGTGGAAGGCTGTAAGCATCGTGACGCAGATCAAGACTAGGCCGCCGTCGAGGATCATGAAGGAAACCTCGTCCTGCATAATATGGTTGCCCCATCCACCGGCCATCTCGGCAACACTGTAACAAGATCAGTCAACCCTTTTCCTCTGTTGTTTTTGTGGTATACCAGCCCAACTTACCGGTAAATGCAACGAATCATAACACAAGCATACGCCACCGTCACAGCGTAGATAAAGGACCTGAACCTCTTGGCATGGTACAGCGAGACATCGCCGGCGCTGGTATCGGCCCCGTGCGCCCACTTCCTCACGCGGATCCAGTAGTCCGCACCAGTGATCCCAAACAGCATCAACACGACGACCTGCAGCACAATACCCGCAATGATGGCCTGGTTGCCCCCGTCTAGCAGCTTCTTATTCGTCTGGCCCGCCGCAGCAGCCAAGCCGCCACCGATAGCCTGGATGATGAGGCAGGTGAGGTCGGCGGGGAGGAAGATGAGCGGGTACAGACGAGGGCGGACGCGCGAGAGGGATGGGTTGAGGTTGGCGGAGACGTGTTTCAAGGTCAAATAGATTCCTGCGCAGATGAAGGTCGGACCGAGGATGATGGTGCAGATTTGCATCTGGAAAGCGTCCTTGTTCCAGGGGTTCTCGTGGAGGAGGGTGCGGCCGACGTAGCCTGGAGTCATGTCAGTTGTTAGAAAGGGGGATTCTTGATGGTGCTTGCGGGTCTAGGAGCACGGAGGCATGGTTCATCCAGTTGTAAGTTGGGATAATGGGTTCGTGTGTGAGGAATGGCAAGGCAGGAAGGGAACTCCATACCAACTGTCTCGAGGACACAGCCGCCCGTCACAAGAGCCATGAACGTCCATGTGCGCTTCCATGTTCCAATGGTTGCTGACACGAGCACGATCAAACCGAAAGCGACGGCGAAGAAGATGTTGGCGCCGAAGTTGGGGTAGTAGGACAAGACTGTCATCTCGACGGGGCAAAGCTGTGAGACTTCGGTACACTCGCGGAAAGGCCGCCGTGTCGTGGTGTCGTTGGCCGACATGATGGTCGATTTGGATGTGCTGCTGAGTAAAGTCGTCTGGCTTCGTTGAGGCTCGGGATGTACACGAATCTTCCTAAGGTGCCCGAAGTCACCAGAGCGATCGATCGCAAATTTGAGTGGATGGTATATTGTCCGAGTCCTCGTTTCTTTCCTCTCGCTTGGTATCTGTTATTGTTGCCACGAGCCTGAAGAGGCGATGGTTCTGTCGAAAATTCCTTGGAAGAAATAAAAAGACTTGGACTGAACCAAGATGTAGATGCCGAATAGAAATGACAGTAAGAAACGCAGCCGAGGTTTGTCATCTACATATAAGGATGCGAAACATATGAGCTTCAGTTACAACATGAACAGCAGCCTCTGCCTCTTTAGTATCTGCGTACTGACAGGCAGACAGACCACCATCTCAGGGTCTAGAAATCCATGACAACCCTCTCCTCAGTTTTCTCTGCCATATGACTGGTCAGCGTATACGTTAGTAACGCGAAAACCGAGCAAAACGAGAGAAACGAGATGGCATCTTCTGCGAAAAGAGCGACAAGGGTTGGCAGCAAACGGTAACGCTAAGGACAGAGCCAAGATCTTCGTCTTCTACCCGAGGACCCGCTCGCCCGCTCGAATTGGAAACCAGTGCGCCTGCCGCTTACGGACTTTGTGTGTGTGTGAGGGGTGACCATTGGATGTTGGTTGTCTCTCTGTTGGGCCCTCGGACGTTCTGTGACATGGTGGATCTTATCAGGACTTAAGACTTCACTAGTAGGAATTAATAAAGTGATTCGAGATCAAGTTGCGGATCCCCAGTGCAGTCAACAACCTTTGTCCCGAACACTATATGTAAGAGACCACGGACAGAGTCAAGAGGAGAGACAGTTGAGGCAACAAACGGGGGAGACTCCGAAAGACGGTACGGAGACCAACGCCCGAATCTTAGCATCAATCTAGCGCCTTGGCTCGGGTCTGCACCGAATCCACCCATCGGGGTGTTTCCTATCCGAATAACACGGGGTAAGCGATGCTGACAGGATGCCACCCGAACACCTAACCGAGATATCGACAAGGATCACTCGAGCTTCTCCCGAGTCCCGCTAGAAACACCGGCGGGTTAGAGGCCTAGGAGGATCCGGAAGGCGATGGCTCGGGTCTCTCGGTTCGCTTGGATGATAGGTATGCCTGCCGCTCGCGTGGTAACCATCGAGACTACTATAAACGTATTCGTGTGTGCAACTGCGACCCGGCACCCGTAGTACTGGACCCAGAGATTCGGGGCAACCAATCTCTCCGAAGCTTAGGAGGAATGCTGTCATGCCAGTCAAGAAAACCACCCGTTGCCCATTCCGCTAATCTGTCGCCGAGTTCTGCCCCATAAGACCGGTTGCTCTGGGATGCGATACCTTCAAGTTAGTAGTCTTCTGTTTTCTCCGCGAACCGGTTCATGCATTTGGCCCAGCCTGCCGCAAAACTACGCGTTTGATGACTGTCACGATAGAAACTTTGCGCCCAAGTGCCAGAATGTATGTCATTTAATTATATGCTTCAGGTCGACGAGAGCAGCTTCTGGCTACCGGTTCGCACGCGACGACGTGCATGTCAATCGCTGTCGTCGTCGCTGCTCTCGTCCTCTTCGTCTTCCTCGTCTTCGTCATCATCCTCGTCTTCTTCATCCTCATCGTCTGTTTCTTCCTCCTCTTCCTCGTCGTCCTCATCATCCTCTTCCTCCTCCATGTGGAAGGCCGCCTGTTGCTCCTCTTTCTCTTCCTCGGCAAGCCAGTCATCGAGCGTCTTGACACCAACACCGCTTGCAGCACCGGCACCCACAACGGCACCGAGACCGTTGGTCCTCGTTGGCGCCGCCCTGACTGCGCTGTCGAGCATTTGACTTGCCGGCACGTTTTTATCCTCACCGTAGCTCGATGTTGCTTCTGTCTCTCGTAATCTCCTGTCGGGTTCTGAGCCCTCCGCAACCCATTCGGGAAGAGCATCGTAACCACGTAACCCGTGAATGCCACCTCCACCGGCCAACACAAGCGTTGACGAGCCGAGCATGAAGCCCTTGCGTGTCTCTGATGGGCTGGGAGCTTGGGGCGCGGGCTTCGGTGCCAACAACATTAACGTGGCTAGTTGGGGCACGGAAAGGAGGGCTCGGTACATCCGGGCTCGGTCGCGGAGGTCGTACGATGTGTCGTAGCGGACCAGTAATAGCGCATAATCCCAGAGTTTCGCCACGGGGTGGTCGTCCTGGACTGGTACGGGCGCATCGTCTTCGCCCTTGTTCTCGTTTTGTCGGTTTATGTGATGTAGGTAGACCTTGGCAGCGAGAAGAAGGATCTGTCCCTTGGCTACCTCTGCTTCACTCGCGAAATCCTTGAGAAGAATCCGCATCACATCTGCGGCAATATTGTCTTCGCCTTCAAGGCCCGAGAACTCCCCCACAAGCCAAATGATGGTTGCCCTTGCTTGAGGGTCTGTTGCCGAGTCTAGGTTCTTCGCCAAACGAACAACTGTGCCTACATGCCCCTGGGGATCTTGCTGGATCAGGTGCCGAATCACCGTCAGAGATTCCGCTGCCAAGGTTCCATCAAGACTCGTGATCTGTCCGAGTAGTAAACGAAGACACCTGGGAGCCGCAGATGAGTCCGTCTGGGCGCACCGTCCAATAGCGCGTACTGCTTCTCTTACCAGCGCTTTGTTCGTTGAGCCGGAAAAGTGCTCGAGTTCGTTCAGAATGAGGCTCTTGATGTGTGGCGGTGCGTGAGGGAAGATGAGTGTCAGAATTTCCAGTTTCAGCTCCCATACTTGCGCAGGGTCCGTAGCTCTGACAAGGAAGTGGCTGGCATATTTGACAAAGTCGGTTGGCCTCGTCAGGCACACCGAGACAATGTTGTAGAGGGCGACTTGCTGGATGTCTTGTGGCCCCCTGAGGAGCGCAACGAGTGGGCCAATCGCTGTCTTGACGTATTCCGGCGTGCCAATATCGACGTAACATCTCGTAACCGCGATGACCACAGCTGAATTGCGGCTCTGTAGCAACGGTTTGATACCGTTGAGGAGCAAGGCGAGATCTGGGTCCACGACGGCAACCTCTTGCTCCTCGCCTCCAGTCTGCGATGTTTCTCCATAAAAGTCGCCCAAGTTGGTAGCCTTTTCCTGACTTTTAACGCTGCGTGTCCGCCTGGGAAAGCATTTCCTTGCGTAATATGTCATCATTCTCAGCGTCGCCAGCTGACTCCACTCGTCCATGTCTACGACCTTTTTGACCAACGCCCGGTACTGGGGATGTATGAGATCGATTCGATCGGGACATATCTCGAGGAAGGCCGAAACTGCCGCACCGGCGACAAAGTACTGCTTGTCGCCAAGGAGCGCAGTTAGGTATTCGAGGAGTTGCGGCAACTGTGTGGGATCGAGGCGGTAGCATTTGGGGATGGAGAGGGCGGCAGCTCGGCGTACGTAGGGACTCATATCTGCCACACCCTTCTTGATTGCGAGAGATACGATCTGACTGATGACTGGGACTCGGATGCCAGACATTGTCTTGAGAGCAAGGGCGCGGACTTGGGGGTTCGTATCGGAGAGGGATTTCTGAATGGTATTGATGGAGAGCAGAGCCAGATCGGGTTCTTGTTCGGCATGATGAATGAGGTAGATATAGACAAGCTTCTTGATTTCGATGTTCGGCGAGGCGACATTCTTGACAACAGAGGAGAAGAAGGGTAACGTCTTTTGGCCGCGGTACATCATCTATGCAGAACGGGTCGATTAGCCAAGGCAGGGACGGGGAGGCTGGCTGGGAAGAGCGCGATGCCTACCGAGAGGACGCGGCGCAGGCCGTCGAGCACCTCGCGCTCATTTCGACTGTCCAGTAGCTTCTTAATCTGTGTACGGTCGAGAGGGCGGCCGGTGCTGCGGGAGCTGCGCGTGGCTGAGGCGGCATCGAGGGTGAGCTCTCGGGCTGGGACGAGGTAAACGTTAGCGAGGGGACATGACGACAGGAGCAAGAAACGTACCGCTCTCGAGCAGGCTGGATATCCGCGCAATGGACTCCATGGCGGGCGAAAGGCCTGTCGGGCTGAAGAAGTCGGGCGGATTTTGGTCTCCGAAGCCTTGGAGATATCGGGTCGTTGTGGCAGGGAGAGAAATGACGTCTCATCGGGTGCTCGAGAGGCTGACTGAGCTAGGTGGTCGGCGAGGGACAGAGGCCGGGACGGTTGAGGTACCTTTAGCTGCTGTATCCGCAGAGGGCGGGGGCTCGATAGGTAAGGTAGCCCCACCATGGCGGACGATTCCTGCCCCACACCGATCCGCTGCTCACTCACTTCCCTTTAAGGTTGGAAACTTGTCTTGGTCTCTGGTGAGTATCTGGTGATTGATTGACAAGTTGAATTGTATTCTCAGTGTAAGTCCGATCCTCGATAGGCTTGGAGGAAACACATCCAGGGTTTTTGAAACGTCCATTAGTATAGTAGCTTTTGGGTGTCTTCCTGGGGAGCGAGAAACAAGACCCTTTGGTTATTGAGTCCCTAGAGAGGCTTAATCCCAATCTCTTAGACTCTTTCCCTCAATCATAAGTTCGCAATTTCAAGAAGAGGTATCGATAGATGCGGGTAGAGGGACCCGAGGGAGTTTGAATGAGCTCTCATAGGAAGCAGAATTATCGAACTGCTCTCGATTGCAAAGTATCCTGGCCAGTAATTTCTAACGCCTATATTTAAGTACTCTATAAAGCCTACTAGTGAATTGCAGTAAAGATGAAGTTAGAGCAGAAGAAGAGTGATACATCTATACCTAATCTCCACAGCCACATTGCGTGTCGTAGGCCATTTGACCCAACTTCTCGTCAAACATGCCCAAGCCTGGTTCTGAACCTGACAGCAGAAATGTGACTCCAAGAGATAAACATGATGCTGTTCACTGCCAGGTTTGACTCTCAGATTGTAAACAGCTCATGAAAGACAATCTCAAATTGTTTACTATGATCCTTGAGATGAAGACGAAGCATGGCCTAGGTTCATGGGATGGGCCCGTCTGTAGCCCATGTGATGAGATGACCAAGAGCATTCAACGGAAGCGAGCATTACGAAACGTCAGAATTTTACAGTGTCAATAAGAGGGAATGAAAGCCCAATCACTTGATGAAAGAAACGGTGATATGGTGCTATCACTAATACGACCACTTGGAGCAGTAGTCATAGATCGAGTCTCTCACAGAAAGGCGGCTAAAGTGGGTCCCTCGACCCGGCGCACTCATTGGCTCTAATCGTACTCTTCCTTCATCCCACTCCTACCTCGTCAAGGACTGATCTAATGAGAGAAACCCCCCAAACCAAAACAACAATACTTTCGAGGTTCTAAGAGTATCACTTAGCAAGAAGAAACAGATTGTTCTCAGAATCTTTACCAATGAACCCGACAGTGCTCTCGCCTGCCTCACCAGCAGAGCTGCTTCATTACATCGTCACATTCCAGCCCTATCCAACGACACTCCTCATTTGCTATCAACGACAGGACTTCATCTCAGCTCTCGTCTCTGACAGCCGCAAAAATATCTCCCAACATAATCATGAGCAATCCGAAGACCTGCCTCCACTACCTCTCCTCTCGGCAACACTCCTCCAGACCGCAATTGCCCGTCACATCCGCATCCTCTTCATCCCCAGCGTAACACATCTACGTGCCTTCTTGTCCGCCTTTGGCACTTCAGACTCCTTGATACCACCTCCACCAAACCACACATCGTCAAATTCGAAGAGTCGCCCGCCTTTGCTCCTGGTATACGGGTTTCTCGATCTCCACCGCGATAGCAGCGAGTGGAGCGCGCAAGGCCTCAGTAGCTCGGCCGCGGTGCTCATCGAGGCAGCTCGCCGGGCCGACACCAAATTCAAACCCGTCATCGTTGAGCCTAGAGGCGCAGGAGGGCATGAAGACTTTACGTCACTGCTGCGGGATGATGCGCCGGTTTTGAGCGGGAGTTCAAGGAGGAGCGAGGGCGTCTGGATGGGGAGAACTGTCGAGGTGAGACGAGTATTGGGCCGCTGGTTTCGTTTCCAGACTGGCCGCTGGGATCTTTAGTACTCGGCTTGCACAGAACCTCGACCGAGGCAACGATATGGGTCGAAAGAGATCGAAAGCTTCATTGTATCGATACGTTGGGCACAACCATGTAACACCCAGGTCTTTGCCCCTCTCCAACATCTACAGAATCCAAACCTGCCTCAAACGCCAAACCCATGGTATCCTTATAACTCATTTCATCGTGGCAAAGTGACAGATAACCGACCCAAAACAATGATAATCTAGAGAGCCTGCTCCATCTCGGTAATGTATAGCTTGATGTGAGAATCCATCTTGAGGAACTCATCGTAAGCACTGTGAATCTCGTTTTCAATGTTCTCCTTAAGGTCCAACATCTATTTTTCTTTTGTTAGCATCCAGTCCCATATCAGAAGATCAAGGGTAAATGTACCTTTTTCTCAGTTTGCTCAATGCGAACACGGCGCCTCTCAATATCCTTGCCCTTGTCCGTCCTCTCCTCGGTGAGCTTACGGTGAACAGCACGAAGCTCCTCCATCTTCTCCTTGGCGTCCTGGGCCTTGGCAGAACTTTGCTCGCGGAGCTTCTCGGTACGCTCGTTCCACTTAAGCAATTGCCGCTGCAGCAATGCCTCCGTACGCTCGACTTCTCGCACGTTGTTACCGCGCTCCGATAGTGCATCGCGTTGCTTGACATTCTTCAGGTTCTCGTCCTCCTCCTTGGCCAGCTCGGTGCCAATTTCGTCCAACACCTTGATGCATGATGCTACGTCCGTAGAGACCACCGAGAAGGAATCGGCCGATGTCTGGAGTGCGCGCGAGCGGCGATCGAGGGCCTCGATGTGCGACTTTTCGCTGTTAAGCGCGTTGCTTAGCTCTGTCAGGGTCGCCTGCAGCGCCGAAGGACTCTGCATGACGTAGGGCCGAAGCTTTGCGCTCTCTTGTTTAGCGGTAAGCTTTTGTGCTGTCCTCTCCTCCAGTGCTGTCGTGAGCTCAGTCTTCTTGACCTTTGCGTCTTCAAGACGAGCGGCCACGCGCTCCTGGTTACGCCGCAGCTCCAGCAGCCGCTGCTTGAGTTCCTCGTTGCGGGTCGTCTTCTCGCGCACCTGTGCCTCCATTGCCTTGCGGTTGCGCTTCATGTCGACAAGACGCGACTCCATGTCCTGATTCTCCGAGTACAGGCTCTCTATGCGGGATTTCGTCGTTTCGGCCTTGTTGAAGTGCTCGTCAATGACGCTTGTCTGAGATTCGCGGAAGCGCACAAAGTTGATCAGGTAACTAAAGATTTTGACAAGACGGTCGTGCGTGGGCTTGTAGAGGTCGTTGAAGCTGAAGTCCTGGATGCCGCACTCTGCTAGAAGACCTCGCAGAGAAACGTAGAAGCCCATCAAGTTGCGGGTGTCGGGGGGCACGATGTCGGAGTATTCGCCGCAGATGTCCTCAGCAGCAGCACGCATGGCGGGCTCGACGGTCTCGCGGGTCGCATTGAGGAGCAATTCGGCAAACCATTCGAAAATCATCTGCACCTGCAATGGGTTCGGCTTCTGGAGGTCGGCAACGTTGAAGGGGATTCCGATGTCTGTTATGCAGCCGACAATCTCCTTGTCCGGCAGGCGCATGAACGCGTCGGCTTCATCTTCTTTCTTGCGGGTATTGCGCGACTGTGTCTGTGTCGCGGGAATGATGCTCATCCGCGGATTGTACGACATATTGGTGATTCGTTTGGGCTCCTTGGAGCGGTGAGATACACTGGCTGGTCGAGCTTGGATGCGATGTGACAAGACAAAGGTCAATTCGATTCCGTAGGTGTGTCTGTAGATATTGGGCGTGGTGTTGTCGCGGTTAGGTTGGCATCAAAAGATTGCCGTAAACAGCTTATCGGGCTTGTTGCTCCGACAACCCGCTTCTTATCGATAAAGACCTTCGGGGCTACCTTAAGGTAACTAGAGTACCTCACCTTACGTAACGAAGAGTCACATGACTAAGAGCCACGTGCTTTCGGTCGTCTGACTTATTGCCGGTGTACCTAGCCTGTGCTCCTCTGCGGCGCTCATATCTGCCACCGACTTCATCCCCGTGCAATGTGTACCCCTTTACTTATCGCATCGATGCGTATTGGTGCTGTATATCCTTACAGTGCATACCTGTAGGCATCTTAAAAGGTACGAGAGATCTAGTGCTTGCAGGCAGGTGCAAAGGGAGGTTTTCTTTCGCCTGTGTACTCCGTATCTACAGGGCACCTTAGATTCGGCGTGGCAGGTGCTTTCCGTTAGCGCGGCTTGGGTTCATGCCCTCCTAGGTGACATCCAGAAACCCAACGCGACCTTCCAGAGTTTGGTCACTTCTCTGCCGACTCGCCAACGTCACAGAACAATTTCAGCACTTCTCACTTCGCGGAGCTCCAGGAAACCTTGTCCCAAAGCTTCGCATGCCGCATTGCTCGGCACTGACTCGAGAGAAACACTGGTACCTTATGCCTAATAGCAACTTCGAAGCAACTTCATCAATCCGGGACTTGGCCGCACACCAGTATCATCCTCTGCCTCAAACTCGATCAAGACACCGGGTCATACAGTCATATTCGAAAGAAATACTATCAGGAATCCACTGCGGTGGTGAATCTCTCATGCCATGGCCTACACGGCGCCTACAAAGCACTACTGCTGGGCCATTACGTACCAAAATGAGAGATTCGGAGAGAGTACCAAATCGGATTCTGGATATGGACCAAGCGGTTCAAGAGGCGAGCCTAGAACCGTCCTCATCCCCTGCGCTTCGAAGCAGATGACCTCGCCTGCGTTCTCAGAGACAGAGAGGCCAATCGAACCTGGCCAGAAAGCTGCCAATCCCTAACCAAAAGGTGCAGAGATGAGCAGATGAACACACCCTCACACTTCGCGCCAGCCGAGATCTGCGCTGAACCCCAGCCAGTTTCCGCCGTTCTCCCACATGGCGTCCAGGTAGTTCTGGGTCGATAACTTTGGCCAGACAAACTACGGACACTGACCTTCATTTCCGCCTCGCCAAATGGATTCTATCCGTAATACTCTATGGACAAAAAGGGAGCCGTCTCATTTCGCAATGAGCCCTGTTGCCGTCTACCCATCGATATCGTTTCTGAAACGCCCCTCGCCGTGGGCTGTCATTGGCTAGAAACAACAGACTCCCATTGACAGAGGCTCCGAGCGTGAAACAGTTTGGATTTACTTTTCGGGAAGTCCCAGTCTAGCGTCACCGCCAGGCGCCAGGGGGGGGATGTCATCAGATGAAAAGGGATTTATTTTCACCAACCATTATTGGTGCAAATCTTCCCTGACTGGCCAGCTATGTGAGCACTCCATTTTTCATTGCCAGATAGGAAGATGCTGCCAATCCCCTCTCTAATGTAGGCATTTAAGAGCTGTGAGTAGTGCCTAATGCTCAAGACCAAGCCTACCTGCATGAGCTGCAACCAGTTAATGATCAAATGAGCGAGCGACCATACTGGCTGAACAATGGTGGTTCATTCGTCAAGGTCGACGAGGGAGAACTAGTCTACACACCAACCCCGCCCTCGAAGCCTCGACTGGTGACATTGAAAGGATATTACGCCCTCCACGAGTCCATCGAGGCATCCAAGGGCGAGGATAAGGGACCATCGGCGCACGCTAGCTGATCCTATGTGCGCATGAAGGTGCTCAGCATCAAGCCAGTATTACCGACGTGTTATCCTGCTCGGCTGATAAGAGCATGGCAGAAGCGGAAGTCGAGCAATGACTCCTGTCAAAACCGGAAGACGGATTATCGAGACCCATCAATGACCACGCTGCTGGCTTTACATTGCTGTGCCTGCAGCACTTGCATTATCCAGGGGGAAGCTTGCACTACGTGTCGAGTCTGACAGGTGCGAAAGAAACGATGTAGCCGACACCTGCAGCACGCCAGACTACTAAGAAGAAATGAGGCCTTATTAACCTATGTTTGGCATCTTTCACGCAACTGCCTGAAGGGCACTCAACCACTGCTTCGAAGTATCAGGCTATCTGCACAGCATGATGCGCCCCTGAGAACTATGGATGATGAAGCGAGCTCAAGAAGCATACGGATACAGCACCGACGGATACATGGAAATTGGAAATCAAGCCCGGGTGGAAGCTGACGGATGACGAACTCCTCCGCAGCTACCTAATTACCCTACGCCGCTACGGCAGGCTGGCAGGTCGATAAGACCAGAACCCCGGCGCAATGACGTTGAGATGGGACGCCAATCTTAAAAGGATCGCCCCCAAGGCGGCTAGCAGTCGTCACCCCGGTCTGCCGCTGGCTCAAGTCCTCAAGCAGGCACGCAGGTAAAGCCCTTGAAGCCACACGTACCGATGATGAAGCAGTTGCAAGTTGCGACACTTGGACTTATGCCGCACAATCTGCAGCCCGCGCGCCATTGCGACGTCCTGACTCTTGGATTCAGCAGGGCCGACGCCATATCCTGGATGGAATGTCTACATGAAGAGCCAGCAGCGGCTCCCATGACATAATGACCGAAACTTTCGATATACAGGGCATATCGCAGCATCGCAAGTTAGGGATAGGTGCCCGCCGCCCGGAGACTGCCAAGGTGCTCATTATACAGGAACACGCACTTTCTTTGATATTTCGGGGCATCAATACTCTCTCACAGCAACTGCACTAGTCATGCTCGGGCAGAAATCGGCAGCGCGAACGACATGCTACAGTATGGCGGAGTGCAGGAGTTCACATGTTTGCAGTCGTGGCAGGCTACGGTTCCATGCGATGCATTGACAGCAGCAAATGTCCACAACACCGTAAAGCCAGTAAGCAGATGGATATGGCTCACGATCTCGTTAGACGGGGGCTGGAAAGAGACCCTACAAGCTGCGAGTGTTGGTTCCAACTCCTTCCAGGCTACGTCGTGGGCGGCGAGTGCCGGGCCCTGAGGCAGTGGGCAGGCCGCAGCAAATACGGGTTGCAGCGTCTTTTGGCCAGCTTCTCCAGGGCTGCTGAGGACGAATACGAGCAGGAATTGAGGGTTTTCCAATCGAGGTACCTGCAGGTTCCCATCGAGCCAAGTCTTTCTCTCGTACAAAAGAGGGCCAGACTTCATGTAACTGCCCTCAAGCGGCGTTGTGCTCGATACGGCACCCGATGGCCTTGGCTACTCCATCACAGAAGTATTGGCGTCCCGCTCCGCAGGTAACGGTACTTTAGAGGAGAAGGACGATCCCTGCTTCAAGGGCAAATGGCCCCTGTTGCCTCGCAAACAGGCACGTTCAAGTTTTCCAACAAGTACGATCCCTACAGGCCACGCATACTGTGGGATGAGAGTCAAGGACCGGCCGGCAGGGCAGAACGTTGCGCAACCGTCGAACCGAACGGCAAGCCGCAACGTCCAGTCTCCTCAGTCTCTCGCCTGGGATCGAAGCTCTCGCGGGTGGCCAAAAGACACCGCAGCCGCCCCCGTAGCAACGCGGCTGAAAGAGGTGATAGGGCGGGCGCTATTCTGGGAGCTGGAGCGGTCAGATGATGTGTCTAGAAGTTCCCCTCAAGTTCTCAACGGCTAAGGCCACTTTGGTCTTGGCTCATCATCTTTGTTCGCTTTGTCTACCAGGACCTCGAAGACGTGAAAGAATAAGCTTGTGCGCAAGGAGAAGGAATTGACAGTCGGCCGGGCTGCTAGTAGGAGTCTAGCTTTCTCATTGCTCTAAGGCCCTTCCCAGTCGATCATCCGCCCGCAAAATGACGGCGGGACGGCCGGTAGTCATTGGCGTCAAACATATGTCAGTGTCACCGTCAACTCGCCCTAGTGGCTGGAGCAACCTTCAGGCCAACGCCCCGCGCACGCCTCGCCCTGTGCAGCTGTCTGTGAGCTGAAGTGATAGCTCAGTGGACAGAAGCAAAGGGCAAGATGACGGTCATATAATAGGATATGCTAGAAAGAGGCTAACGCCAAAGAATATTTCTCAGAATCAACGCAGCGGGCTGAGCAATATCTGGGGAAGGATGATGGCGCGAATCCTGGAAAAAAAAAAACGCCCTCCGACAGCGAAAGGTGGGCGCGATGGCGCATAGCAACAGTGTTCGTGTAACTTTGCAAGTATGGATGCACAAACGGCACCAATAGCCACATCATCTGATGAAGAGCACCGCAACGGTTTAACAGGTTGCGGGGCGCTACTGTGCTGTGGCCGATGCGGCAAAGAGTTGTGGCCAGAGGGGACGATGAACTCTGTTTGCCCCCCTTCGGTTTCCCTCTCGGAATCCCACTGAGGGATGAGGGTCCGGAAACAAGGGCTTCTCCAGATTTATGTAATCCTCTCTTAGTACACTGGTGGGCTGCCCTTGTCATTGAGCCGGCGGATTTGAATATTCTTGGTTATTCTAGACTCCCAATATGTGGCACAGCAAGGAACACCACCATGGGAACACCACCATGGGAACACTGCAAGGGCATGTCCATTGACGGCGATTCTTAATTGAGGCTGAGATAGATCCAGTCCGTCTCGAATTCCAACTCCCGGATCTATCTATCCCTTTCGAGTGGATGACTCAGGGCCTGGGCGAATCCCCTTTCAGCCCTCGTCTTTTTCATAACGTCTTGACGGCTTGGGAAGAGCGATGGGTAGGCACAAAGTGGGTGGATGGACACACGCAAAGTCAAATAGTTCAACCGAGTAACGGTCCTGAGAAATTAGCACAGCCCTACTGCGTCCACTGCAGTGCAAACAGGCTTCTCAGACCTGAACCCTACGTACTTGTGGAAGACGCTGCCATCTATCACTCGCCTCCCGGAGCTCTAGTCGGCAGCATTCCAATGGAGCCGACTTGCAGCCGCCAGCAACACACCTGCTGTCTGACTTATTGCAGAAGTAAACGAAACCTAGGTATTCGTACAGAGCATTGGTACATGTCGCTGCAAGATCTGAGCAACCGCGGAATACGGGACTCGGACGGGTCTTCGGCGCGGATACGAAGCGATAGCGAAGAGGTGCAGCGGGTATCTTGACTGAACCCCTCCCACATCCCTTCTTTTTACCTTTTTCCTTCTCTTTTTAAACTTGCACATACGGGCTTCTCGCGGTACATCGCGCAGGGCACGGCGGCAGCCAGGGGGACGGGCCCATGAGCCCACCGTTGGAGGTAGAACGAGCAGAAACTTTAACACATATAGATACTGTACTACTGCATCGAGAGGCATGCTGGAACCGTTACGGCTATGATCTATCGATAACTAAAGATGGCCAGCCACTCAACACTACGGACCAGCACGATTCCAGTCATCTTCTGGCTGTCAAGCCACCGAAAACCACAGAATAAGACAACGGCATATGAGACAAGCCCGGGGGAAGACCAGAAAGGCCTCCAGACGGTGAGACATTGGAACTCCAGGGGCTGGATGTCAGACCTGCGAGTCGTCCATAGAGATCCCAGTACTTCGTAGTCAGAAACATGCAAAGCCGGACCCGTGGCCCGCTCGCAGTCAGTCAGGCCAGGAACCAGCGCCACGGCAGACTCGCACTGCATCGCATCGCATCGCATCGCATCACTGTCTGGATTCGTTGAGGGCTCCTTTCTTGAATCTTGCGTCCTGCCCTGGCTGGACCTCTCTACGAGTACACGCTCTCTCACAGACCTCTCAGTCCTTCTTGACCTTCTCAGGCCAGCCAGACCGGGACAAGACCAGGGCAAGCAGCAAACCAGGGCAGCACTTGGAGCCGAGCAGCAGGTGGTGTGCTAGAAAGCTGGTTGGGTCCACTCCGTTGATACCGAAGCAGAAAAAACTCGCGACGATCAGGCCCAGTCCTGGCAGTCCCTGATCCCATCGACGACATTGACATTCCCCCTGCCGGCAGGAGACTTCGCTGGCGTCTGGTGGCCATCTATCCCTCGTTCACACAGACACACAGGCACAGCACTGGTTCCCGGAAAACCACGCGAAGCACACGTCAACGTTCTCCTGTGGTTCCTCTCCTCCAGTCTGTATCTTCGCACCAGACTGTCATTGGTTATGAGGACTGCGAGATCCATCTCTGTACAGATCCAGTCCCATCAGTCTCGACAACTCGAACTCAACTCGACCTCAAAGAACGGAAGAGACACATGGCACGTTGTCCCTGGGACCCGTACTGCGTATTCATCAACCAATTGACCAGTTGCTAGTCCATTAAAAAGCTAGGGGAAGCAGGAAGAAACACAAAACGCAACGCACCCTCCAACCCTTGGGCACACACCACACTTTGTCCAGAGAGTCCTGGTCAACCCACACCCCTTCCACCCTCCCTCTTCCCACCCCTTCACCCTTGAGTCCTTGACCGACCCTTGACTTTTTCTTCCAGCCCAAACCAACCAGCCCTGGCCGTCCCATCCCTCCTGGTCTGATCTGGTGGTCCCCCAAAGGTCCCGGCTTATGCTCCCTTACCCTGCCACTCGATGGCCTAGTTCGGAAAGGTACCGCAAGGTACCGCTCCAGCAACGGCGCCGGCAGAAAGCTACTAGCAACGGCGCCAGCCAGCCAGCCAGCCAGCCAGCCCAGCCAAGCAACAAGTTCTCCCCCAGTCCTTGCCAGGGTCCCCATCAGCAGCAGCAGCAGCAGCAGCAGCAGCAGCAGCAGAAGAAGAAGAGGTAGAAGCAGAGGCAGGGTCAGCAGCAACAGCAGCAGCAACCACCAGGTCAGGTCGACCCAGGGCAGAGTCCAAGGAAGAGAGAAGGTGAGTCTTGCTCAGGCGTGCCCCGTCTCGTGTCTGGTCTCTTTCGCGAGAAGCCTGCTGGATCTGTGAGGGTTCCCGCATTCGTCATTCCATCATATCTAGCCCAGCTATTGCCACTTTACGAATACATTGATTGCATATGACTATTTGTCCCTCTTTTTAATCCTCGAACTAAAAAAGGAGAGGTACTGATACCGACCTTGCTTTTGCTATCCATATTGCTCCGTCACTCCCGTACCTACGGACACCACACTCTTAGTCTCTTGTCTCTCCTCCCTCCACTCGCTTTAAACAAGCCCGGCCAATACCCTCTCCTCCAAAGACCCAATCCCATATTTGCTGCACAATCCCGGATCCTTCTTTAAGCAGACAAGCTTCCGCATTTCCTTTGGCTCGGGACAACCCCAGCACACCTCTCGTTTTACTCGTCCATTGCGAAACTGGTGGCGATTCTGGTCAGCAGGAAGCATTGAGATCTAAACGAGACCGCCCGTTCACCCTCACTGATCACACACTACGGAGTACGGATACTTTACGGACACACATATGCTACTATTCATCGATATTGAATAATACGCCAACGATCATGCAACCATTCAGACATTGGTCCTTTGACAAACACCCCAGTATTCTTCGATAACTCATCATCACACACGTACTCTGCCCACTGACCACGACGCTTTTCTCGCGTTGGCTGATGGGAAAATGGCACTTTGGCCCTTCCGCCGGAGGAGCGGTCGCAAACGCTCGCGAAGCGGCGCAAACTTCTCAGATGTCGAGGCACCACCAACATCATCCTCACAAGCACGACGTCTCACGGCGGTCGAAGCCACTGCGCCGAGGGCGGCCATGCCGAAGAAGCAGCGCCTCGAGAAGCAGCAACCGGCGCCCAGAAGGGAACGCACCTACAGCTTCTCCCCCGGTCGCAATGACTCCATCCGTGTCGCGGGGCAAAAAGGCTCGGTTCCACTAGGACCTGGCCGGTCGACAGGGCTCTTCCCAGCCGACCGAAATGACGGAGAAGAAAAAGGGGATCCCGCGTGGCAGCGGGCGCCAACCCTACATAATGCACGCCACGGCCAACCGTCGAGGTCCTCTCGACGCAAGACCAGCAAGAGGAGGAGAGAAGAGACGGATCGTGAGGCGGAAATCAAGGCCATGGCAAACTTCGCCCCGGTACGACCGGCGGCCGATCCTTGGACGTCAGGGCGGCCCATTAGGAAGCAGAGCAAGAGACTCAAGACCGGCCTCGGCTTCCGTAGGAGCTTCGAAAACCCGCAGTCGGACGTTTCATTACCGATATCGATTCACTCCAGCATGTCATCCGACACGGAGCTACACTCGTTCCGAGTCTCTGCCCTCGAGGCACTATCGCCCCGACCAACATTACGATACGCAGTATACCCACGATGGGGTCCCGGACATGGTTCGGCGCCATCGCGCACACAGCAGCAAAAGAGGAAAGTTTCAGAGAGGGTGCCCGAGTCAGTTGTGAGGGCACACAAGAGGGTCGATAGCTTTGCGGATGATTTGGACGCCGCCGACCTGAGAGAACTGATGGAGAGGGATAACAGGAGGCGAGAGAGGAAACGCCAAAGAGACCAGGAACGGATAGAAAGGAGACTGGCACGGAGATCAGAGAAGCAGCGCGAGGCCGTGGCAGAAGCCCGTCACAGCGGGTCACCGCCGCCGGTCAACTTGGAACGTGGTGTTCTCGGCCGCGAACTCGGATTGGGGATCGACGCAGCGTCTGCAGTGGTTACCTCTTCCAGGAGACGGTCATGGAGTTCATCACGGCAATCGAGAAAGATTTCAACGACCAAGGACTCTGAGCCGGAGCAGGAGCAGACGCAGGAGCATGAACAGGAGCAGGAACCGCAACCCGAGACGATGGACATCGAGCCGGAACCAGCGGCCATCCAACACTTTCACCGGACGACCAGCATCCCGCCAGAGGCACCGCCCTCGCCGACGCTGCCTGCGCAGCCCGCCCCAGAGCGCAAGACGAGCACGAAACTTACGCCCAAGGCCAGCATGAGATTGAAGAGGAGCTTCCTGCGGAGGATTTCAAGATCAAGATCGCCCAATGCCACAGAGTCTGACCAGCACGCAATCTCGCAATACTCGTCAAGACAGGATGAGGGCGAGATCTCCCGCAAGGATACTCGCGCTCGCATCTCTTTCTCGGCGCTTTTCCGCCTGGGCAAGAGAAACAGGAGAAATTCGGGACCGTCTTCCTTCTCGAATACGTCGCGCGAGACAATGCAGGCATCAGCCGCCGCCGCGCAGATCTACTCGCAGTCGGCAACGCATGTGCCCCAGCAACAGGAAGAGGCGGCCGCGGCGCCGGTACAAGTGCCGATGCCAGCGATCCCCCCACCTGTCAACTACATTCCTCGCAAGGTCAGCAACGGCGTTCCTAAGCGGACCAGGTCGCGCTTCAGGGAGGATTTGCCCGAACTGCCCCTCAGCCCACCCGACTCGCGTGTAGGGTCCCCGGAAGTGGAAATGCCTCTGCCCGTTGTCTCAGAGTCCAAGTCGGGAGAGATTTCGCAGCAGGATACGCCTGCCGTGAGACATGACACACCGACATCAGACCTGCGACGCGTCGATGAGAAGATGGAGAAGCTGGAGAAGATGAGGCAGACGCCCACGTCGCTGCGACACAGCATCCAGCCATCCCCCGAGCCTGTTTCCCTTGCGTCTATCGACTCTGAAGGATCATGGCTCTCCGGCCGCGTTGGCGCCCGCCGCTCGTCGGGCATGCGCGGCAGCATGCAACGCCTCCCGCCTCAGAACGTTAGCCACTCTGCATCGCCCAACGATACGGAGGAAGAACTCGCCGACGATGAGTACCTCTCCAACCTCGCCACGCCGTCCCGCGAAATGCTTGCCGACGAAGAACGTACCCCGCGCAAGTCGACCGGCGACGCGTTCCCCAGCAGTGATGAGGACGAGGTGATGGAAGATGCGGATATGAAGTGGGGGTCGGTCGACAGGCAGCGCGCCACCGTCGTGCAACATCAGAGGGTCAAGAGCCGCGAAGGCATGCTGAAGTCATATGGAGAAGACGGCATGTCGTCGCCCGAGGGCTCCGAAGAAGGCGAGACGCCCCAGCTTCAACGCGCCACGAGCGTGAGCCTCAGCAGGGGCAACGCCAGGCATGTGAGCGCCGGGAGCACCAAGATGCTCGAGGTTTCGCCCCGCTCAAGCGTTGACCACAGGAGGAGCACTGACGCAGTATTTTGATGAGATTGTATTTCGGGGGATTACTGAAGATGTTTTGCTAATGAACAGGGGAAGATGAATCGCCAGCCAAGCCTATGAGACGTACAATCACTCAACATTTCCTTATCATCTTTCTACGTCGAAATATATATCGACACCCGACGCTCGCTATCAATTTCTTTACAACTCGATCTATCCACCGACCATATTCACTCATTACATACTATTTCCTTGCCACTGACGACAAAAACCACAAAAACACTTGGAAAACGACAAAAATCCGGATATGCTCTCAAACTTGGCTGGCTTCATCGACTCCTTTCTACATCTTCGCCCTCGCTCTCAAAAATCTATGCGACTCTTCTCCTCGCCGCCTATAACGACACCCAACACCGACCGACGCGGAACTTGCCTCGAGAGTCGTAGGCTCCTCTTCGATTCATCTGATGTACGATACGACCTTAACGACCCGCACCTTTCTTCTTTCCGCCGACGACGATGACGACGCGTTCTCTACGTACGCGTTTTTGTGCGGTGGCACTTGTTTCTTCGTTTCATGTTCTCGGGAATACAACGTTTGATACCACATCTCCTTCCACCTTTCCACTTTCCCCCACAATCCTTTTCCGAAGGAGAATGTGGGAGGAGGAGTAGGAGGGGGAAGCGAGATGATTTGAGATTTTTTTGTTTCTTCAATGTGACCCTGTGGAAGGGTCACAGTTGCGCGCCAAACAACCAACCCCTTAGACCGGCAGTGACAGCACGTCTGCGCACTCCTTTGATGAATGCTCTGCGATTCTCTCCGAGGAGACGGGAAAACAACCTAGATTCGGGGATGAGGAAAACAGCACGAAAGGAGGGGAATTCAGAGGAGGATCGGGAAAAATCGGAAAAGAGCGAGCATTCGCGGCGATGCGCTGCCATTTTGGCTCAAAGGGGAGGAAATCATGTATGTAGTAAAGGCATAACAGCAGGAGGGTTTTCCTGGATGAGATACCCGAGTAACTCGTGTTCTGGAGTAGTGGTACACTGTAGGTGTATCAGGTGAATGAGAAACCTTGAAACGAACGTATTTGCTCTGAACACTCTAATTTGACTTGGTGTCCTTTTGCAATTCCTTTTCCGTCATGTATCTGGTCCCTCTTATGTATAGAGAGCCGGGGTATCTCTACAAAAGCCACGCATTGTTTTTGTCTACTATTTCCCAACCTCATTTGAACAAGTACCTCCTTCAAGCTATACTTCTCTATTCCAAGTTTCTCTTTCCTAAGTTTCTCTTTCCTAAGTTTCTCTTTCCTGACTTTCTCTTTCCTGACTTTCTCTTTCCTGACTTTCTCTTTCCTTCCATTATGACTATCATCGTCTATACGTTTATTAGAGAATACTCTTTGGAAAAGGCCTGGGAGACGGACTGGGCGAGAGCGATAACCTAGCCCCAATCGACGGCGACCAATTTCCTCCTCCCCCATCCGAGCCAGATCCTGACGCTGAGCCTGGTCTTGGAGTAGGAGGCCTATCCGCGAATTGCATCTCGGCGAACTGATCGTCTTCGAGGATGTAAATATTGGCAAGCTCGGCCTGCGGAAACTCGCCAGTCGACGCAAAACAAAACTTATCGCACATGATACGGCGAAAGTACGAAGTCTTGTGTCCTGCGCGACTCGCCGCTACGAGCACCGGCTCCAAATACAATCCAACCCGGGTACGCGGCGAGGTTTCGTTTGACCGGCCGCTCGCACCGATAGGCACCACAAACACGGTCTGTGGAGCCGGACTGCCACGGGGCCCGCCGCCGGTAGCAGGCGTCAAACGCACAAGGTTGGCAGTGATGCAGAGGCCCATGTTGGTCATGCTGAACTCCCGAAACGGAGACGGCGGGAGCAACGCGCGCTGGTGGACGTCGTGTGAGTGGGCAAAATCGGCGGGCGAGTCGGCGAGCAAGCCCGACGTCACAGTTCTGGATCGGCGTTCGCCCGTGTACGGGTCCACAAGCTGCTGCTGCGGATCCGCCCTCCACGCGAAGATAGTTTCGTCGGGAGATGCCCGTATGATCTCGTGTTGGAGACGTTGGAACGCGTGCTTGAGCCCTTCGCCGTACAACACGGGGATATTGACGCCGAAGAGGCCCATGAGGCAGTAGGCCAGGTCTTCTGCGCGGGTGGTCTGGCGATTTGCTGCCCAGGACATGCGTTCTGCGACGGAATAGTCGCGCGGGTGGCGAGTTTTGGCGAGGACAGATTCAAAGATTCCTGTGATGGAGGAGAGGGCCTGGATGAAGGGGCGTTCATCGGTATGGACGCCTTTGGTTCCGAGACGGGACCAGTCCGAGGTGTAGAAGATTGTCCGCCGGGGCGCGATGAGCTCCTGGAGTGTCCAACCGCGGGTGAACCACTTGGAAGAAGCGAGTGATGAGAGCCGGTCCATGGAAGGGGACGAGGATAGGGGCGGTACGTCGGCGAGGTAGACAAAGCAGACACGGGCGAGGAGGTAGTAGGTGTACATGGAGTTGATGGCTTCGGACAGCTCTGCGGAGGAGGTTTTGTCTATGCAGCAGGAGTCGATCCAGGCCCATCCAATGTTGTGACGCAGTGCTTGAGTGCAGCATCCCTGAATCTTGATGAAGCCGGCTTTCTTGGATGCCAGGGGCAGGTTTTGGATGTCTTGGAAGGTCACCTCATCGGATCCCCAAGTATGGGAGAGGATGGCGTAGGGGGGCACAGTACTGCCGATGATGAACATGCGCGGTTCGTAGGTGGTTGTATCGAGAAGCCACATATTGATGGTGATGTCTGTGGTGCCTTCCTCGTCCCTTCGATCTTGGTACCGAAGCCTTGTTATTCTGTATGGAGTAATCAGACCAGGCAAGGCAACCAAAGGTAAGTGCTGTAGAGGCGGCGGGAGAGATGTGTTACAGCCCAACAGCCTTGTACGACTTGGGCACAGTCTAGGGTGCTACCATGATGAGTTCGACCGACGCCTTGTTGAGTGACTTAGTGACAAGCGAAGAGATTATTCGATAGCAATCCTGGTGTTTTTTTGAGAAGCTCAAATAGAAGAAGGCAAACTGTCACGAGACGGGAGCATACGGCTTGGTGATTAGAGGTGTGTAAGTCAAGTGTGGTGCGCAGGTGGACACAGGTGCCCCGCCAGCTCCCGAGTGACATCTGGGGGAGGGGCAGCTGAGGGCGGACGCCAGCTGGCGGTAAGGGTCATGCGGATGGCGACGGGTGGCGATGCAAGGCGTTAAGCGAGGGCCTGTCACCCCTGGCAGCTGCACGTGCCTAAGTCGACCTTACGTAAGGTACCGGTACAAGCACAGAGTAGGTATAAGCACGCAACAACAGACCAAACAGAAACAAGAAGAGAAACATCAAAAGGGCCCACTCTTGCAGGGCCCGGACCCCGACGGAAGGGCCGCCATCGGCGTCGGCAATGCCACTGCCGCACTTTCCCGGTTTGCTCTTCAGGGGTCCAGGCGGGCACAGGCGGGAAGTCCAGGGTGGGTGGATGTGGGTGACTGCCAAATGAGTGTGCTGGGAGGGTGTGTGACAGTGTGTGCGTGTGTCCATGCCGCCCTACGCCTTTGGGGCATCATCTCGGCCATACTTCTCGGCATACCCTTCCTTACGCAGTAGGTAAAGTACCAAGAGTAGATTACTTTGGACGGAGAGACGTCTTGCAAATCTCTCCCTCGACAACTTCGACTATGATCCCTCAATAACACCTACCGTACTTCACAATCGAACCGAACCGAGCATGGCAACGACCACAACACTGTTCCGAGTGTTCTTGCGCCGTCAAACACTCGGAGCCCAAGGATTGCGAAATCGCTTGGCACAGCAGCAACAGCGCCGCGCCAACTCCAGTTCCGAAGTACCCAAGCCGAAGAGGGCAGAGGATCCTATTCCCGTGCCAAACACCATCACCACAATTCCGTTATGGCAGCGTCTCGGGCCCTTGACCCGCGCCGGGGAGGGTTATGCCCGAGCCCAGCGCAAGAGGCCTCTGACGACGCAGTTCATCAGCTCCTTGGTCATCTATTTTTGCGCCGACCTCTCGGCCCAGAACATGAGCGGCAACGACTACAACCCAGAACGGACGATGCGCTCCCTGATCATTGGCGCCATTTCTTCTATTCCCAGTTATAAATGGTAGGTTCGGTCGTTCTCGTTCTCGTGCTCGTGCTCGTGCGTGTGCTCGCAGCTCCCGTGTGGTTTCCGTCTATTCGAACAGCGACTGACGCAGTATTGTGTTTGGCAGGTTCATCTTCCTCTCCCAGAACTTCAACTATGCCTCGAGGCTCCTCTCGCTGGCCACAAAGGTCGTGGTGAACCAGGTGTGCTTCACACCCATATTCAACTCGTACTTCTTCGGCATGCAGGCGTTCCTTGCTGGCGACAACTTCGACCAAATCATCGACCGCATCCGACAATGTGTGCCCGTGAGTATTGTTAACTCGTGCAAGCTGTGGCCTGCCGTGACGGCCTTCAGCTTCTCTTTCATCCCGATGGAATACCGCAGCGTCTTCTCGGGCGTGATTGCTGTCGGATGGCAGACCTATCTGAGTTTCTTGAACAGACAGGCTGAGGTCGTCGAGGAGGCAGAGGAAGTACAAGAGAGATCGCATGCGGTGCCGGCCATCGCTGCTCACGAAAGTTCGGTAAAGATGGAGGCTTGAACTTTGACGACGTAGAGGAGAGGAGCGGAAAGCATAGATATCCTAGACATTCTTTGGCAGCATCATTTTCTTTTGTAGTGCATCGGACGGCGTTGGGCTAGACGGAGACGGACCATACAGACATGGAGAACGTCATGATATGATACGATTTTATTCTTAGAAAAAAATACCTTAGACTTTGTACCGTGTTAGCCGCCACTGTACTGACACTGTACCCTCCGTGCTAGAGCGATGCCAAATGTGCACCCCAAACTTCGCGCCCATTCCGCCTTCGGGCCCTTGACCTCGTCCAGATCACAACCCTCAAAACCTACCCAACGCTGAGCCATTGAGTGCTGGCCAGGACCGGCAACTCTTCTCTGCAATGGCGTCCATCTGCCTGCGATCCTGCCGCGTGCAGTCCGCCCTCCGATCCGCCAGAAATCCTACCACCGTCCGCCCCAGACTCCCTAGCAACATCCCCCGACGTCATGCTTCTACTGGCACCGGCTCCTCGACGGAATCCCAGGCCGGTTCGGGTCTGAAAACTGGCCTGTACAGCATTGCCCTCGTCGGTTCCCTCTACGTCTCCTATCTCTATGTAACCGATACGAGGGCCTCTATCCACGCATTGTCACCCATGTTGATGCGCTTTGCATGGAGCGACGCCGAGGACGCTCACCACGCCGGCACTGGCATGATGAAAACTCTCTACGATCTCGGCCTACACATCCGCGAACGCGATAGAACCCTCGTCGAACACCCTGCTCTGGCGACGGAAGTCTACGGAATGAAACTGTCCAACCCCATCGGTATCAGCGCCGGCCTCGACAAGCACGCCGACATTCCGGACGCCCTCTTCGCCCTCGGTGCCGGCATCGTTGAGGTTGGTGGCTGCACGCCCCGCCCGCAGGACGGCAACCCTCGCCCGCGTGTCTTTCGCGTTCCCAGTCTCGACGGCATGATCAATCGATACGGTCTCAACTCGCGGGGTGCCGACAGCATGGCCATCACCCTGAGGGAGCGCGTGCGCAAGTTCGCTCGCAAGGTTGGCGCGACGGAGCAGGAGGTTCTGGACGGCGAGGCTGGTGTCCCTGCTGGCAGTTTGCTTCCCGGCAGATTGCTGGCTGTGCAGATTGCCAAGAACAAGGAGACGGACCAAAAAGATGTCAATGCCGTTGCTCAGGACTACGTTTACTGCGTGCAACGTCTTGCCAGGTATGCCGATATCCTGGTGGTCAACGTGAGCAGCCCAAACACCCCTGGTCTCCGCGACTTGCAGGCCACCGAGCCTCTGACGAGGCTGTTGGGTGCCGTGGTTCAGGAGGCTCGCAAGGTCGACCGCAAGGTCGCCCCCAAGGTCATGGTCAAGGTCTCCCCTGACGAGGAGGAGGATGCCCAAATTGAGGGTATCGTCCAGGCTGTCTGCAGCAGCGGTGTCGACGGTGTCATCGTGGGCAACACCACCAACCGTCGCACAGGCATCGTTCCCCAAGGCGTCAAGCTTACTGTCAAGGAGCAGAAGGCGCTGCAGGAGACGGGTGGTTACTCGGGACCCGCCATGTACAGCAGAACCCTGGATCTGGTCGGAAGATATCGCAAGAAGCTCGATGCCCAGACCCTCCAAACCGGCTCGGCCGAGGAGGCGGCTGCTATTCCTGATGTTGACGGCTCCCTCTCCGGCAAGCTTCACGATTTGATCGAGGGCAAGGATACACCGAGAAAGGTCATCTTCGCGACAGGCGGCATTACAAATGGAGAGCAGGCGCTCAAGATCCTCAATGCGGGCGCCAGCGTGGCCATGGTGTACACTGGCTTGACGTACGGTGGACCGGGAACAATTACAAAGATAAAACGGGAGATCAAGGACCAGGCGTAGAATACCAACTTAACAAATAGAAGATTGACTGCTCAGTGCAGAATAATCCGGGCTCTTGACATCTGCTCTCATCGTATGAATCGAGTAGATCAAATGTGCGGACCCCGAGAAATCCACCCCGCCGACTCTTGAGGAGACTACCCCGAGAACTGAGCCACCGCAACCCACCAAAATCTTAACCAAACAATTGATGGAATCGCGCATAGTAAGTTCCTCTCCGCAACACAAGTTTGAAGAATTTTGATGTATTTTAATTTGATTGCCTTTGCGGCGTTGTAAAGGAGGGAGAAAAGCAACTGCAAAACGCCCGACTCCGTGTGACCTGGCAGCAATCGGCGCCTATCAAGCTACCCTTTCCTGCGTACAATCATATTCTCCTGCCACCTCTTTCCACGATGATGCCGTTGATGATGCCCTAGCAATGCAAACCGCCGATTCTCCTCTAAATGCTAGACTGAGACCGGGTACTATGTCTACTCCTGGCCCGCGAGGACAAACTCGGGCGCATTCTCAAAGCCGACAACGGTTACAGGCTGAAGCTGAGCAAGCTTCACCAGCTTCTCGCGGGCTGCCTCGTTGAGCTTGACCTCACCATTCTTCTCCTCGCGAGGGCGCACCTCGATCCCAGTGGGGTAAAGGTGCTCAATCTCGACATCCTCGCCGAGCTCAAAGAGCTCAGACCTCTCACGGAAGCACCAAGGACGGCCGTCTCTCATGACCAAGTCGTGCGTGTCGCGGACGTCTTTGGCGTGCAGAGAACGGTACCCGCCGTCTAGGGAGACGGCGATGGAGCTGTGCCAGGGGGTACGGGGGAAGCCGTCGGGGTTGTGCTTCTCGACCAGCAGCGGCATGGAGAGCTTGACGGCGCCGCTGGAGGGGTGGATGGAGAGGCGGACGTGGTCGGGGCAGGTGGCGAGGATGATCTTGGTGAAGGACTCGGCGCGCATCATCATCTTCATGGCGACCTCCTTGACAACCTTGCGGTACTTGTGACCCGAGGTGGCGTGGGCCGCAACGGGACTGTTGCGAAGATCCGTCTCGAGGAAGCGGATGAAGCCGCGGTAGGTCATGAGCGTGTCGTTGTCCGTCTCCATGAGGGCGCGGACGTCCTTGTCCGGGTCGCCAAATTGAGCCTCAAGGGTCTTGCGGCTCTCGTCGACAAGCTCCATGTACTTTTCCTTGGTGAGGGGCTCGTTCTCGTTGGTGAGGCCGAGGAAGTCCATGACGCGGAGGAGCTTGATGCCGTCGTAGCCCTTTTGCGCTGCCATGTCCATGAGAGTGGCGCCGTACTCCCAGGTCTCGTCGTCTGAGATGCCGACGACGTCTAATCGGCGAGTTAGATATCGGACACACAAGTATGGCTATCCAGGAAGGGAAGGGCTTACCGTTGAAGACCAAACCATCAGTGGCAATGTGAACCTCGGCACCATGGGTATAGACCTTGCCAATCTCAACGCAGAGGTCGTTGAGTCTTGCAAGGGCCAGGTCCTCTCCTAGATCAGGGAGAACACCCGTCACCTTGTCGGTGCGGTTTATGCTCTTCCATGGGAAGGCAGGGATAATCATCTTGACCGACTCTCCCTTCTTGACGTACTCCTCAACACGACCGTGGAACATCTTGCGTCCAAGCCACTCGTGGTTCTCCTGGCCCTCGGGGATGATGTGTCTTCCGAATGCTTGGAGAACGTCCAGAATCTTGTGAGCGACTTGCTCAGAAGACTGCTCGAGGGGAGGTGTGGGAAGTGTCTCTGTGATGGTAGGGGCATCTATATCCAGGGTGTTAGTTGGATGGCTCTCGAAGCAACAATGATGGATGTAGCTCACCTCCTTCAACGACATCGTCGATGACAGCATCGATGCTGGCATTTCTCAAAGGGCTATGGAAAGCACTGAAGGGACTTTTCGTTGCGCTGACAGGGCTCCTCAACGTCTGTTCAGGAGGCTGCAGGTCGACGGGGTCAATGGGAGAACCGATTTCAAGGTCGGAGAACTCGACACGCATCTGCCTGAGAGGGCTGAGGGGGCTTCTTAAGTCTGAGACACTGAGGGGAGAGATGGAGCTGAGGGGGCTCTTGAGCTCCGAGCCAAGACTCGGGCGTCTGTAGGTCGGAGCACGGAGCTGTAGAACCGGTCTCGCCATGAGTTTTCCGGTGGGGGCTGCCGGCTTCTTGGCGTCCGTGGGAGACACGGGGACGGGGTCTGCTGCGGAGATGGCCATTTTGATGATTTGCTTAGGTATGGGAGAAGGAATTGAGAAGAGATAGGGAAAGTGAATACCGGAAGACGATGGCAATGAACTTAAGAAGGAAGAAAGGAAATGTTGTTTGATCGTATTAGAGGAAGAGGATGATCTGGGTTGTAGATAATCGATATCAACCATGGCTGGTCTTGGAGATTCTTCTTATACTTGAGATTCACTTTAACCTGGAATAGGTAGGGACCTCCTCAGAGAATGCCATCTGGATATCTCGTAGTATTCCGCATGCATTCAGGACGCTACTCGGAAACTTTCCCATTGTCGAAGCCCGGGCTTGAATCGCAGTGCACCGTGGCGTCTAGGCTGAGCTACCCCAAGCCAAGGCTGGAGTCTGGCCATGGATATGCATCGTTACATGGGAGTGGCCGTGTCTGCATGCACCTGCAGAGCGGCCGAGGGTACGCGTTGCCTTTCTCAATGGTCTAACTACCTTTACCTGACTTGACTCAAAATAAGCACACCTGATGGTCCCAGGCTGGAGGCAAAAGACATTGTCTTACCTCGTGTCGGCGATGAGACTAGGTCACCACCGGCTATACCGGCATGATGGGCACGAATCCTTAGCTTTACCCACTGCTCGCGCGTGCGTCCCCTGATTTTCATGATTGCCAAGAACAGATGGGAACTTGGTGGTATCCATGAATCTTGTGGAGGCACCTCCCACGTTTGGAGGCTTTTGGAACGTAACACAACCTAGCCCTAACCGTGTCGTTTGGCTGAAGAGGCTTGACTTGGCTGTCGGCTACTAGTCCCAGAGCAGGGCAGCCAATGGATTGACACGTCTGGATTAGTCCTGGCCTAAGTGCTCGAGCTAAGCCCATCCGATTTTAAGTTCGGGAAGCTGGGAAAATGATCCATCACCAAATGTGTCTTGAACTTGTTGGTTCGCCCGTCGCATTCCGGTCATCTCTGTTGTGTGTCCCAGTCAGCCAGGCTGAGCTGGTATCGCCGGCGCCGTGAGCGAGGCGCTGGTCTGGTAAACTCAATTACATGCCGTATCCGGAAACTTTGGGTAGCTATTTTCGATTTGCCGTAAAAGAACCAATGGCTCGGTATAGCATTCTGTGTCTTGAGCATCTCGATTTCCTTTTGTCGACATGATAACCCCTCGTTTTCTGTTCTAGTTGATCCACAATCGAAAGTTTGGCATTCATTCCTCGAATTGCTTCCCATTCTTCGGTAACTTTACTGGACCAACTAGCTTCACGTTGCTCACATTTCGGGTCGCCATGATGGAGAAAGATCTCCCAACTCTGCCCATCGTCCAAAGCGTGCCATACGATGAGCACCATCAACTGGCACCTTCCGAGCACCACGCCCACACCACAAACTACAACCACAACCAAATAATCATGTCCAACAACGACGAGCATCATGTCCGACCCCAAAGCCAGAGCCTTTCCGAAGGCCAACAACGATCACTACAGGCAGACGAAGAAAAGGCTGAACTAGTTCCTCCCGTTCTTGACGGGCCAGACGGTGGTTTCCAAGGCTGGCTCCAAGTCCTCGTCGCATTTCTGCTCGTATTAGACGGCTTCGGTTTCATCACTGCCTTTGGTGTTTTCCAGGCTTCATACGTCAAAATTTTACCGGACAGTTCAACCTCCGACATCTCATGGATCGGTTCGATGCAAATATTCCTCCTTTTCCTCCTAGGAACCCTGAGTGGCAGACTCATCGACGCCGGCCACTTCAGAATTATCTTGATCACCGGCATCGTCTTCCAAGTCGGAGGCATCTTTGGAGCCTCATTCTCCAGCAAATACTGGCACTTTTTGCTGTCACAAGGCATCGCCACGGGTATCGGCAACGGTATGCACTTCACCGCGCTCGTCTGGCTGGTCTCGCAATACTTCACAAAGAGGCGGGGTCTAGCGCTCGGGATCAGTTCCTGCGGTGCTCCCATCGGTGCCGTCATCTTTACCATCATCGCTCGTGAGATGATCCCAAGAACGGGAATCCAGTGGACGCTTCGCACTATGGGTTTCTTGGTTCTTGCTGACAGCATCGTCATCTACCTCATTGCGCGACCTAAAGCTGCGACCCGCAAGGGTGGTCCCTTGCTCGAACTGTCAGCCTTCAAAGAACTGCCGTACCTCTTATTCACCGTTGGCATGTTCTTCGCCTTGTTGGGCGTCTACTTCGCATATTATTATGTACGTATCTTCACGGATTGTCTCTTGCCATTTTCATCAGAAATGATAGACTAACATCTTCCTCACCAGGTCCCCCTTTTCAGTCGCAACAAGCTCGACCTCGATGACAGCGGAGCCTTGACTGTCCTCATCGTCATGTCGGCCGTGGGCATAATTGGTCGACTTGTGCCCCCATACCTCGCTGACAAGAGCATCAAACCTCTCAGAACACTCGTTATATCACTGCTTTTGAGTAGCCTCAACGTCTTTGCCTGGATCGCCGTGAGCTCCATGGCTGGACTCTACGCCTGGGTCATTGCATACGCCTTCACCGCCAACGCAGTGCAGACGCTCTTCACGGCATCAATGGGCGAGGTCACGTCGGACATGTCAAAGCTCGGGGTACGCATCGGCATGGTCTTCACCATTGTCAGTTTTGCTTGTCTCGCTGGTCCACCCATTGGCGGAAGTCTTGTTGGGCTGAATCACGGCGATTTCCTCTATGCGCAACTATTTGCTGGCGCTTCCATGCTGCTGGGTGGTCTTTTGGTTGCACTTGCGAAGATAAAGCAGGTTGGACAGAAGGACTTTTGGCGGATTTAAGACTCTCGTTCACCTTCCTTTTCATCTTTTTTCAAGGATACCATATTTTTATCTGATGCAACTGCGCTTGCTGTAGCAAAAGCATCGGATGGCGTTTCCCAGTCTCGGGGGGGATTGGCGTAGGGCGTTTGATTCTGGATTAGATTATTGGGGACAAGGGTGAGAATTCGAAGTATACAACATTGCCAAAGAATGAAATATCACTTACCACCATATCTATTGGCGAACTCCCGCATCGAATCTATGGCATCAGAATCTTCTGACGGGCTTCCCTCACATCGCGTTCATGTTATTCACGGCTCATAGCAAAGCCCATCATCCAAGACCGGAAATTGCGGCACATTCTTGGCAATCTTGGAAGCTTCCCCCTCACCGGATATCAGGCAGAGAAGCTCGCACTCTAGAGCTATCGTGGCTTACCCAGAATTCGGGCCAGAGGGTCTTTGAAGCCGTTTCGAGCTTGGCGCCAATCGGCTAGTTGCTATGGCGTCTTTGAGTAAACCGCCCTATTCGCTGAAGAGAATCGGAAAGTAGAAATTCATCTGAACGACACTTGACAGCCCTTTACTGAAATCGATGTAGGATGCAAGCGGCTTGACATCTTTGGCTAGATCAGTTTAAGCGAGCTAGCCTTTAGCTCGTACCTTAAATCCTTTGTCAAAGTGGCTATTCCTATTCGACGGAAGCCGCTGCGAGCCCAGTCAGTCGACTCACTCAACTTGATCTAGCCAGCCTAGCTCGTTCCACAGCCCTAGAACCAGCAGTGCGGTGCCACGCTTCGACGAACGTGACACAGAGCTAATAAGTTTCCGAGACCAGAAATAAAACAATCAGGTGGCGTACTCGAGAATATCTTAGCACACTTGCCACAGCAAGGGGTATCACTCAATGGCACCAATAAATTATCAGGCAAATTGCAGGTCGGCAGCAAACAAGCACAGCAGCAGACCCTGGCTCCATGCGATGAGTACCATAGTATCAAACCAAGCAACCTTTGCAAACAAGTTGTCTACAAGTATGCCGGCGGATCCGTGCTTTAGCGGCATGGCAACCATGTATGTCAGGTATTGTGGCGTTGGCCGCGTGCGGCAACTCCTCAATTGCTGGCATTTCAGCTTCAAGCCACATGCAGCTCGACGTCTTGCCCAGTCGTTCAACGCTCAGCCCAACCCGACGGGAAAGCCACGAGCGTGCCACCTCGGAAGCACCGTAAGACCCTGGGATCCCGACATTCTATTTTCCCTCTGCCCTTGGCGTAAGTCTGGGGGCAAACTAACCCTATGCGCCGGGATCACGAATGTCGCCGGCCGGCTAGGCAGTTCAACGAATTCCGTGAGGGCCTTCTCAAATAAATGAAATGCACAGTCAGATGGCAGTGTTTTCAGTTCTGATGCATTAGTTATAAGTCGTACGCAGACGTCTGGGTCGCACTTTTCGGTCCGTTTGACTGTCACTTCAACCCTTCCATCACTGCCTTTGGCTTTGGTTTCGACAACAAGATGAAGCCTTCAGTATCAGCGGCCTTGAGGTATTTCAAATCTTCTCACGCGAGCCTATTCTTCGTCAGCGCTAACATACTCCAAGCTTGTGTGGCCTCCTTTCGGGTATCTCACAGACAGTGCATGCCTTGTCTGGGACTGCGGCGAGTATCTCCACAACTACGCCAACCCCAACCTGTTTGCCCCGATATTTGGGAGCCAAATCGAGCGAGAAGAAAGCTAGCCCACCGTGGGGTAACCGCACATGCGAATCTGATCCTGAGAATGTGCCTGACACTGGTGTCGTGCGAAAATACGAGTGGACGATACAACGGGCTGTCCTAGCACCTGATGGATTTGGTACGTTACATCAACCCTTAGCCTCACCATCAGATGATCTCTATTTCGATCGAGCAAGGCAGATCGCATTTTTCGCCTACCCCTAGCCAGTGACTGATCATAGTCATTGCCTACAGAACAAACACTTCTCACAGTCAACGGCCAGTTCCCTGGGCCTCTCGTTGAGGCGAACTGGGGGGACATTGTGGAGATCACCGTCCACAACAACATCACGGGTCCAGAGGAAGGCACAGCGATGCATTGGCATGGGTGAGTCCAGAATAAATCACGTCCCCACAGCCGTTGGCTACTTCGTGCTAAAGTCCTTACAAGCATACACCAGCAAGGGACTGGACTCATGGATGGAGTCAGCGGTATCACGCAATGTCCCATTGTACCTGGTGGGAGTTTCACCTATCGCTGGAAAGCCAGCACGTATGGATCGACATGGTACCATGGCCATCATGCGCTGCAGTATGGCGGAGGTCTGTGGGGTCCTATGGTTATCTACGGCCCCTCTCACGTCGAATACGATCTCGACTTGGGCCCCGTCACACTCTCCGACTATTATCACTACCCTTACGAGAAGATTGCCTCGGATGCCATATCAACCAGTAACGATACCAGCGTCTACGCCCCTCAGTCGAATAACCAGTTGATCAACGGAATGAATCACTTCAACTGCTCACTTGCTCCCGCGAATACGACTTGCAAGAGTAATGCTCCACGCGCATCCTTGAGATTCAAGTCTGGCAAAGTTCATAAGCTCCGGTTGATCAACACAAGTGTCGAGGCTATGCAAATCTTTTCCATAGACGGCCACAAGATCATTGTGACCACAATGGACTTCGTGCCTGTAGAGCCTTACGAAGTGGAGTACATCATCCTCGGTGTCGGCATGAGAGCTGATGTTCTTGTCAAGGGTAATGGAGACCCGAAGCGGTCTTACTACATGCGCTCAAGAATTCAGTGTGCCGCCACCAAAGTTAACGAGACACTGGGCACTATCTACTATGACGAGACGCCCACCACGGTCGTTCCAGCCACCAAAACTGTTGCGCCTCTGCCAAGCTTCACTGCAACATGCGGTGATGTAAGTGCTACTTATTTTAATCTCCCTTCCAACTAGCTCGTCATGCTAATTCAACCTGTCTTGGTAGCCTGATCTTCACTTGAAAAAGCCAATTTACAAGAAGCGTGTCCCTAAGCCTGATCTTACACTTCTCTACGACATCGACTTCAGATCAAACGCTAGCGGCAATCATCAGTGGCTGATGAATAATGTGACATTCAAAGCCGACTGGAGCCGCCCGTTGTACATCGAGGCAGTAGATGGTCACGCCGAGTATCTTAAGGATCCCCAGCACATCTTGGCCACGATTCCTGACGATGTCCGCCATGTTCGTGTTGTGCTGAACAACCATTTCTCCGTCCATCCGATGCACATCCATGGCGGTGACTTCCAGATCCTGAGCGAATCGGATGGGTTCTACAACGGCACTCTGAAGTATCCCAAGAACCCGGCCCGCGCCGACACGGAACTTCTCCGGCGTAACGGAAATCTTGTTGTGCAGTTTGAAGCAAAGAATCCAGGAATCTGGAGCTTCCATTGCCATACTGCGTGGCACGCCAGTGTTGGTCTCTACATCAACTTTTTGGTCAAGCCAAAGACAGTCCGACAAAGCAAGATCCCTGATGATGTTCGCGAGGTTTGCGCGGCCTGGGATGACTACGTACAATTACACGGCGAGAATGCTCTACCTTTCGATAGTGGGCTTCGATAAAAAGTGGATATGTAGCTGACAGATTGTTCCGTGATTAATTTGCCTTTGGGAGCGTCACTTGACATGGACATAGTGGAATTTGCATAGCGGGGAGTTCAATTGATTCCTTCAGATTTTAACCTAATTAAGTATCTAATATAATCACTTCAATCATGGACAAAGAATAACACTTCTACACCCAGGCGGTTTCTTCGACTAAAGTACCTTATATTACACCAAATAAGAGCGTGCCCAGGCTTAAATGTATGTAAAAAAGCTTTATATCGTCCACCATATGACGAAAAACACGACGTATCATCCCATTTAGAACAGCTGGACTTGCTAAACTTCTGTAGATGGAAAGCTTGGCACTCGATGCCATGCAAGTTCTTGTCCCAACAACCTTCTAGTACGCAGTTACATCCTGTGTTCGCCGTTTCGAAAGCTGGAATGCTGCAAGAAGAGACCTTAAGGTCCCTTCAACAAATATCATTCCATGTTCTCGTTCCTGCACGGCGATTTATTCATCAGCTCTTGTGCTTCGGGATCCCCACACTGTCGCCTTGACCAGAAACCATCGGAAAGCCAGAGAGTCGCATCAAGGGACCGCTTTCTCAGGGTTGTAGGTGCGACTCCACAACTTATAGTAGCGTCCCAAATGTTAGAAGCTACTCCTGCGGCATAATGATGCCCGCTTGTCTGTTGGATGACGAAGCCTATGACCGCAATGGGGCAATAGATAGCCATCTGCACGACCGCGACTGGCACAAACAACACACAGCCAGCCATCCATAAGAGCATGATGATTGACTGTATAATCGAGAGAAGGAGCCAGAAGACAAGTCGCGGTTTCGGTCTGGTTGGACATTGAGGTTGTGGTGTGATGCTATCTTCACGCATGTCGATAGCCGCCGTCATGAAGGACACCGCCAACACGACTGCAGAGAACACGGTGCCCATCATCACCAAGTGGTTGACTAAGACTTGCAGATGAGGATCCATGGCTTTGTTCAAAGTTAAGAAGAAGTTGTCGAAGAAATCGGATTGTGTTGAAAACGTGATCGTGATGGTTACACAAGATCGCGGTTGGCCAAGGGCTGATTTATTCAGAGCAAAGTGGAGACTGCGAGAGCGGAATGCAAATGAACACTTGAGATAGCCAGAACAATATCGTCATGCCAACAAGGTAGTGTACCCGTATTGAGAGCCGGTCGCTGCGGTACTTGCTAGTACAAATTCCTCCCGATGAACCTTAATAAACAGGTAGAAATCACGCTGCAATCCAGGATCCAGACCGCCGGATATTCATTCCACTTTGAATGATTTAATTACTGTTAATAGGTCGAACCGAGACGGCTATGATGTGCTATGCACAAGACTTCTAGCTTAAGCACCCTCCGCTTTCATGGTTTGGGTGGCCTCAACTGGGAAGTCTTTGAAGGGACATACAATTGAATACGAGAAACTAGTGTCTTTCGCATCAGAGCGACTAAAGATTTGCCCACGGCTTGTATTCCTCCTCACACATGAGTTTTTGGAACTGGCGTCGCCTGATGCCAACGTTTCCACCATCAAACAAGGGGAAAACAGCAGCATCTGCCAGAAGGCGCGAGAAGCCAGCGCTTTCAGCGTACGAGGTCCTGGTCTTTCGTAAGCATGCATTTAAGTACTGAGTCCAAGACCGAAAGTCAACTTACATGCCAACCACTTGCATGCAGTCCCAGACGCAGGTGACTGCTGAATCACTGCTGTAGATTTTGGCTGTAAGGCAGGACTCGAAGCGAGATTTCGCATCTCCTGGACCGTTGCCCAAGCTGTCGAGTGCTTTCCATACGAGCATTCGGGAAGTATCGATCTTTATTTTCGCACCGATGAGCAGGTCTGCAGGACTCTGTCTTTGGATAATGGGCATGGATCCGCCGCGATGGTCGTTCTTTGCGAATTTGAGTGCCTTTTCGAAAGCGGCGCGCATGGTACCGACTGCCATGGCCCCAACAAGAGCTCCGGAGATGCCAAAGGCTTGTTCGATGTATGGTCCGGCCTTGCCGGGGGCAAAAAGAACGTGATCAGCTGGCACTTTGAAGTTGGTGTATCGGGTGTGAGGACCAGTAACAGCAATGTGCCCGAAGAGCTCAGGTTCGCTGAGCAGTTGAAATGCCTCTGGGGTGTTTTGAGCCACAATCTCTCGAGTCACCATAAGTACCATCAAATTGTCTGCAGGGTTGACGCCGGACTTCTCTGAGAGGCTGTCCTCAGAATACCGTGCGCACAGGCACGTAAGTTCTGCTCCTTTGCCGTCCCAGCCGGCACTATTTGTGGTCCATAGCTATTGCAAAATTAGACTTAGCTCGGCCGAACTGTACAGATGTCTTACCTTTTCGCCATTGACAATGTAAAAATCGCCCTCTTTCCTGGCAGTTACTCCAAGACCCTTCCCTCCTTGTTCAAGGTGATTCGCAGTTCCACCTGGTTCGGAATGAGCCAGACTTGCCAGGGGATCACCTTCACCGGAGAGGAAAGGCTTCAAGAACCTCTCCTGCTGCTCGGATGTGCCGCCAAGAACCAGAGGTAACAATCCCAAAGCACTGCCGACTAGGTGGATCACAATGCTGGACTCGACTGCATAAAGCTCCTCCAGAAGGAAGGCAGTCTCCAAGAGGGTATCTGCGTCACCGCCTGCGGCCTTGGGGATAAAGGCCTTGAGTAATCCCTCTTTTATTAACTTGCCGTAGTATGGCCGAGTTGCTCGGAACCGCGTGAGTTGGTCAGAGTGCTTAGAGTAGTCTGCATAGGCGTGTGTCAGGACTTCTTTTGCAACCTTGGCTCCTTTGGCGCGCAAAGCCTTTTGGTCTTCGGTTAGATTGAATTGGACCATTTTAAGCGTAAATCGATCCTACGACTTGGTCAGCTTCTTATCACTCTCAAAATAAGAACGGAGAGCTACTTGCAGTAATTAATAGATAAGGTATTGTTTCCTGGAGTTTGACTTCCGGTAGTGATGATGCGTTGGAGTAAATAACTCCCTTAGACTTTGAGGCAGCTGGCTCTTATATATCGTGAACATTTCTCCTCACAGATCCTGCACTGATTAGGCCTATCGAAGACAGAAGAACGCTCGAGCTGATGCTTCCCATCTAGAACACCAAAACTCCAACAAGTGCCATCTTTCGAGGCATCCCTATCTTCAGCTCTCCGTCGCCGATCAATCGGACTAACCAACATTCTCACTTCCGCGGAGGTGCCAAATTTCAGCAGGGTTGTTCTATCGTTTTACTGACGTTGGAATCGGCCTCCTAGAGACGTGTATCGCGGTTGGGCATTACCCGCTCGGTGAGTCTGAGGTGTGGCTATTGCGGCTAAGCATTACCCGGTAATGCCAACCACTCGGAGCGGCAACGCTTATCCACACGGCGTATCTAAGTTGATTTTCCCCGCATTCTGTTGATATTGAATCTACCGGAATTCACGGGATTGATCTATATCAGATAAACCTCGTCATCACAGCCCCTATCATTGGCCGTGGCGTTAGGAGCAAAGGACACGGTAGTATGGTCACATGGTGGGAATTGACGTGGATTGGTCCCGTCGATCTCTACATGACGGCTTCAGAATGACTTACACCTAGAAGCTAATTACATAGCCAATACCACATCGAGACAACGACCTGTGAAAACGCTAGGGAGGTGCAGCATGACAGAACTGCTTGCTCATCTACTATTGAACATCAGCGGGGTGCTGGGCTAGTTCCAGTACAGCATGACAAGAAGGGTTCATATGCACAAAGTAAAAAAAAATTGGCCATCCCAATTCATGAGGTAAATAGTAGATTGGGGTAATTATCAATAGCTCGAGATACTCTTATGATTCTAGGGACTGGCAGTGCAGTATTAAAGGAGGCAGAAATGCACGTTGCACTGATGATGATGATTGTGATTTTGATCTGGATGATTTAGACGATCTGATTTCAATGAGTGGATGAGGTAATCTCGTATACCATCACCTTTGCAATTGAGACTCGCAGTTTTTGGAAATGGAAGGAGAACCTCAAGATCCTCCACTGTAATACTAGTGATGCTGATTGTAAGACAACATGCACAAAATGAGGCTCAATTCCTCACTCAGCAAGGGCCGTCCTTGACGCCAGGACCACTGTAGTTCTGGCAAGGAGTTTTGGCATCGGTGCAGACGTTTACTAGAGTGGCCTTGTCACCATTGGCCTTGGTGATTCCAGCAACCTCACCTCCATTACGGGCAGTCACGCCCTCAATGTAAACTTCACGGGCGCACTTCTCGCACTATTATCATGCGGTGAGCTTTTTGCTAAACTCTTACGAGGCGGGAGGAGGGATGGCTCACTGTTCCGCAAGAGCGATAGACTTTTCCGTAATCATTTGCATAGAAGTTGATGATCTTTTCTGAAAATTAGTCAACGGCGGATGTGCATGGGTACGTGACAACTCACGTTCACACGGCCACAGCCATTATGCTGGATGATCTTGTCGGCTGCATGGTAGGCTCCTCCTCCAACAATCCAGGTAACGTCACCAGCTTTGTCATTCTTCTGAAGGATTCATGTGGCTTAGAAGTTCAGAACGTTCAAAGGCTAAAGGTCGAAGACTCACGATGGAGATGGCGTCCTCGCAAACATCTTCAAACCAGACAAATTCGATGTTGCACCCCCCTCCCAAGCAGTACACGCCCTCCCCGGCCGTCTTTCCAATGATGACATTTCGCAGAGTGGCACCCTTCTGCAAAACAAAAGCCGTGTCTTTCTCACCTAAGGTCGTTACACAATTGTAAGTACGATTACGGATGCCACAACGTAGGGCAGGAAGTCTGAGTTGAAAGATGGAGTTTCTCAACCATACCTCCTTCCACCTGCTCTCTGCATGAGGTGGGGCTTCTATCATACTTGGCCCAACCGCCGTCAAACACCTCGCCAGATTTGACATAGATGGGAGCAGATATTTGTTTGTTGGACGTGGGCTTGGGCAAACCGCCCTCATAACCCAAGCATGCCAAAATCATGGGAAGGGCCCCGAGCAAGGCGCCGGTGAGGACTCCGATCTTGCTGAGCATTGCTCTAAGTAATGTTGAATGAAACTAACGAGAAAATCTTGAAGATATAGGAATTCTGGATTGGGATGTAGCACTCTCGTCCCCATGATGATTGCGGCAGGGACATTTTATAAAGAATTTCGGCACAGAAAACATTTAGTCTCGACGCCTAGCGAGGGAGCTGTATGAGGGGGCCTGCATCAAGCAATGTAACGTGCCTCAGGTAAGAATGATCCACACATGTGGTATGAATGCTTGGTTCATTAATATACAATGACCTTGAGTCGCGGAAAATCTTCTTAGCTGACAGAGTTCTTGGACGATCTCCAGAGCTTCCTTTTTCGAAGCCTTGGGACACGAAATTCACCGTAGTTGGCGCAGAAATGGGGTCCGAACTGAAAACAACTCATTCCCTTGGCTTTCTGACACTGGGTGCTCACTGATAGTCCCACCAATTGAAGGACACGAACTATGAGACAGCATAATAGACACGCCCGCTCGATGGTCTACGATCCGCGTTTGCTTCCATTTTGGGATCTAATACGGCCAATTCATGGAATCAAAGTAGCTAGAAGTGGCTATGGCACACAGTATTGAATCAATATTTAGAGAAAATACTTTAACTGGAAGCGGCTTCACGAATTTGATGTCGAGTATGCAAATTCCCGAGTGAAGATGGGAAAATACAACACTCATTCACCTCGAATCTGGCTGAGGTGGCAGTTCTTTGTGTCAGCCAAATACTTTACACGAGGATGATGATGGAGCTTTGCGTACTCTGCTCTCAAATTTCGGCTCACAATTACGAACCGTAATGTGGTATTCCCATTGAGCCTATCTAACTGTGATGCAAGTCGTCTACTAGGTTCACGAGTAGAATTATGGTTGGACATGTCGCGCAGACACCATAAGTGCACACTATAGTTAAGAAAGACCAACCGCGTGACAAGTATTCAGATTAAAACCTAGCTGAAATGCCTGGGAATTGAGAATGCCAATTGCTTGGCTTGACTTTGAACGGTAGCCAAGGCGAATTAGATGACAGGGGCGAAGCCGAAATCCGCCTTGGGGTAGCAACACTGGTGAGGGTCTGGAGAGGCAAATCCCTTCAGCATTACGGAAAAATAAATCATATGCCGCTCCGTCCGCGATGGGCAAACCATGGCATCTTGGCTGCATCGCAATGTGGAAACCTGAAATGTTCAGGCTCAAGGCGGATTGAGCGACACTCATCACCTAGATGATTACCACAAGAAAAGAAGATAAACTACTATTGTCACTGGGAGACTCGAAGTCAATTGACTAGGGAGATATCGATACTTGAACTAATTGAAACTGATCTAGATACTTCGCGTTCATACCTTAAGACAAGACGACTTCATACTGGAAGGTGACATGTCTGTAAGATCTGCCTTTAGAAGATCTTCGATTGCCAATGTCGAGGTGAATCTCATCGTACCCTTTTTAGACTCTTGACATGATATAGGCGCACCACAACGGATTGTATATGTGTCGGAAAGACTTGTTTCCTGAGTGTTGTCAGCCTAGCGCCAAAGACACCGTCGGAGAAGACCGTTCTACTTACCTCGATCACCTGGAGCTTGGCTCGCCGCTTTGACTTTCGATTGCCTTCTCTGAGCCCTTGATCTTCGGCGTTGGAGCTTTTGCAGACGTTGGTTCCTCCCATTCGTCTCCGACGAGCCACATACTATAGACCTCCCAATACTGGAGGACATAAAGGCAAGGATAGAAGGCGATATCCAAGATGTCGACCACATTTGCGGTTTTGCTGCAAGCAAAAGGACCACAGACAGGTTCGACGCAAGCTCTGAAGAGAAAACCAGGGATAATAGCAGCAATTGCCAGACAAAGGACCACAATGCTGTAGGCCAGTATCGGCGGTGTTAGGATGAGAAGCCCAAAGAACATCAGGCAACAGGCGGCGGCGAACTCAGAAGTTGAGAGCTTATTGTTTTCTGATCGAGATTCCTGATCATTTAAGACAGTCGCATGAGCAACAAGTGCAGTCCACAAGACCGAGGTCAGTATTGCGAAGCTTCCGATGACAATGAAGGCTATTTCTCTAGAAGAATACATGGCGACTACCTCTTTCTGAGCGGTGTTGTAGTACAGCTGAACTCAAGTCTTCTTGGTCTGATGAAATCTGAGTGCGAGCACTGCAAAAATGGCCTTACGCTTCTAGAGTGATTCGAGGCAATGCGGTGGAAGAGTTTCAAGTGAGTAGATATCGAGGTCAACGCCAGAATAGAATTTGGACAGGTATAAGTTTAGATCAATGTGTCTCCGTTGAATGCATCTGTTTTCGGGTACTGATGTCCGGTATCTTGATCGACAAGCACAAGCCTGGCGTCTGAGCTTCAACATAAGGTATGTTCACTAGGCCACCTTGATAGCCTCCTTTCCAGGCGGTCAAAAGCACTGGGAGACCTCAGTTGACAATAGTTGGGCTGAGTCCCATGACGTGGCAAATCTCCTACATAAAGTAGAGAGTAGGATACAGAGAAATGAGACGTGCTCTTCCGCGAGAAAATTCGATTAAATGACATGTCTCAAAAGGTGAGATACACGCGTTTTGACATCGAACATTCGAATTTTCAATGCACATTTACCAGCCTATCCGAATGACTCAACCAAACAACTTGAACAAGTCTCGTGACTCGGCCAACGTTGCCCCTTGGCTTAGAAGAGCTGGAGTTTTGATATTCAGGGTAAACATCAACGTTGCAACTGTAACACGGCATTGCGAGCCATTGGATATGGAGTCGCACTCGAAAGGCCGAGCACGTACCCATTGGGCCATCGGGCATTACGATATTTTGGCCAGAAGCGCAGTTACTCGAAAGCATCAAGTCTAGGTTGTAGAAGCTTACATCCAGTAGCCATCTTTCCAGAGTTCCTTGCTATATCCCTCGGTCAATCGTTCGTCCTCGCCGTACTTTTCCTGCCAGCCGACGAATCCGCGATCGAGAACGTATACTGTCTGGGGCTCCGCAGATGCCGAGTCCCCCGCCGAGTCAGTAGTAGTGGTATTAGAGGCGAGATTCTGATCGCGCTCTCGGAGATATCGAAGGGCAGCACTGGGTCCGCGTTGCTGCGACAGAGCGCAGTGGAATACGACCGTCTTCTTGCCTTCGAGGCGGCGCATGAGGGTGGGCATTGTGGCATCGAGACTTCTGGAGGGCATGTTTATACAGCCTTTTATATGACCGCCGAGGTAGTCTATGAAAATAATACAGGTTAGCAGTGCAACCAAGCGGTTTAATTAGTTGAGGTCAAGGAAAAGGCTAACCATCGTCGCGAACGTCCACGACGGCCACAGACGAAGTGCCTGCAGCCTGTTCTGCCAAGAGTAGCGCGGAGAGTTTGGCAGCACTGATGCGCTGGAGAGTTCCAATCGTCGCCATTGTTCGTGGTCGGCGAAGAAACCTCGAGGAAATGGAAAGGCGTCTTCCGGCGAGGCGCGAGAAATAGCAGAGTGACGTCGGAACTTTCTTGAAGTTAATCGCGACAGCTTTGAGTTTTGGTGGGGAGCTTCGATGCACGCGCGGGGCAAGTATCCGTAAGGTCAGTATCCCTGTAGGTTGTTGCGCAGCTATGGTGGGGTTCCTTAACTCGGCCAATCCATTGTGATTACATAATGTTTGTTCTTGCTGCTCTTTGTGCATGGCGTTCCATCAATTTCAAGCTCAACTTCTACTGAAAACGTAGGTATTTCGGCATTAGACACGCTTGCGACGTTAATGGAGATTAGGACATCCTGCTTCATTGAAAACGCCCAATCAACCTCAAGTCAATCGCTCCAGTGCTCAAACTCATACACCGAGGGCCAGGGCCCAGGCCAGCAGCTTTTCTTCAATGATATGTGACGCATCTTCGGTCTCTCGGTCAGTCTAGCAAGACGACGCCTCTCAACGCCTGATAACATCGACGATTTATACATTGCCAAGACACTTAGCGATATGTTAGCCAGATTTGGCTTTCGACAAGCAAAACAAGGACTGCGTAGTAAGAGGGCAGGCTTGACCTCTTAAGGCGATGATCTGCCGTGTGGTCCACCAGCTTTGCCTTGTGCTGGCCCATCTTGCTCGCTTTCGGTTCTCCCAATGATACAGAGAATCTCAGAACCAATTGTTCCAACGAAAGACTGCAGATGCCCCAAATGAGGGATGAAATGCATGGTACGACGATCAACCAAGGTGTTGCCCGGGACTTGGTTCCCCGGCCCACCTGCCATCTCGGCCTCGGCGCTTGTTTGGAACGCCGGCTCCGATCCAGAATCATTATGGACTTAGCGACGCCCCGAAACTTTAGGTCAGAAACGTTCTTCTGTGCTACAAGCCAAGTGAGAATTCAGACACGAAAGCATTTGAACCTGAGTTTACAAGGCTATCATCATAATATTTTCTTTCCTGTGCCGGTACAAAACGTTCTGCTACGAGTATCCTCTGATGGGTCGAGCTCTCAACGTCTCTGAAGTTTTCACGCTGCATGCTAAGGTTTATCGCAGTCAAAATCATGGTGGAATAAACCCAAATACAGTTTACAAGTAATGTTACTTAGATGAAGTCGGAAAATGGCTGCATTCGATATAATTCTAGAACTAACTCGGAGCGGGCGCCCCCATTAAACGGCATCTTTCCAAATAGACCTCGCCACATCTCTGACAAGGACAAGCTTTTTCCACATTCTGTCCTCAGTAGTTACGCCTTGGTTGATACTGAAGCTAGCAAAGCCGCACTGAGGGCTCACAGCGAGTGAGTCTGCTAGAACTTCCGAGACGCCCCGTCTTTGCGCCTTTGCCATGACTTCAGCAGCCTCATAAACCCTCTTGATCAATGCCTCCTTGTTCTCAAGGTCTGCAACCTTTGTCGACACAAGGCCAAGAACTACATTCTTCCCTTGCGGAACAAATCTCAACGGATCAAAGTGTCCAGACACTCGAGGATCATCAAACTCTAGGTAGAACGTGTGGTAGTTGAGTTTGGGGAAAACCTTGGCGGCAATCCTTTCGTAAGATCCTTTGGCGAAAGAAGGCTGGCCAGGCATGTTGCCGCGACAAAGATGTATGCCCACATGCAAGTCAGGTGGTAAATCCCTCAAGACCTGGTTGTGTGCCCAAATGTAGAGGTCCAACAGGGCCTCAGGGTCGATGCCATCACCCCTCAGACCCTCCCTGAAGCCCTTTGTGACGAAGAAAGTCAAATTTGGATCGTCAACCTGTATAGATCTGAGACCCGCATCATAAAGAGCTTGAATCTCTGAACGAAATGCTGCCGCGAGGTCGAGGAAATAGTCCTTGTCAGAAGCGTAAACGCCAAGGGCAAACGCTGTGCCGTTTGCAAGGTACATGTGTTGCCAGGAGATGGACGGTATGGACATCTTACAGTCCTTCCAGCGTTCTTGAGGGACTGCCTTCTTGATCATCTCCCAGGCAGGAAGGTAAGCCGAATCTGTGAACTTGATCTTTCCCGTGGCGGGCACAGCGGAGAAGTGATTGTATCCCATCTTAGCAAGTCCGATAAAGGTAGGCAGGTTGGGTCGGAAGTCTTGGGGAATCCTGAGATCGTCTCTGACTGTCATTCCCTGAAGATTCTCAAACAAGCCGCTGAAGAAGATGGTTCTTTCATATTCGCCAGAGGTGATGGGCCTGACTTCGAGCTTCAGCTGCTCCTGAACGGCGTACTTGATTGAAGCAGATGTGGCAGCAGCCTGGTCTTCAGATAACTTGCTGTCATAGAAGCCCAGGGAACCCCTCTCCTCAAGCAGGAAGGCGGGCCGAATGAGTGAGCCGATCTGGTCAGCTCGGAAGAGGGGAGCCATGTTAACAGTGTCGATGATATTGAGGTCAAGATCTTCAGCCTTGAATCTCTGCCAATCTGCTGGACCGAACACATCTTAAATACGTTTCTTGTATACCCCAGACCATGTCACCTCTTGAGGGCTACAGTCCACACTGTGGAGAAGGGTGATATTCTTCTGGGCATGTGGGCACGGGTGATCCATTTCGACAAGGAAGAAAGGGCCGCTGAAGAAGATAAGCAAGTTTTCTACCTTAGTACTCTTTCGACCGATGGCCCAATGATCCAGGCAGGAAACAACCACGCATGAGACAATATTGCCGGGGAGCATTCCTGTTCTGATGACTGAGTAGCAAACATGTTTGCTTAATGACATGCGTATTGAACCAACGGCAGTTAATGCGCGGAACAACCCTGCCGAAGTGCTTCATCTTTCCCAAAGAGGAATCTCACCTGTCAGATTTGTGTTGGTCTACGTTGGCAGCGTTCTATTGGAAGTCTTACTATTAATCCTACTCGGCGCTAGGAAGAATTCTTTCTGGTTATATCTTTCGTCTCACTCTACCAAAGTCCCATTTGATCCTCTAGATCTGACATCCTCCATTACCATCTAGGGGTGCGACTGAGATTGGTTGAAATTAGGCTTGAGTACGAAAATCTGCATTCAGGCACCACGCTGCAGAGCGGCCCATCATATGCAAGACTCAATCTCTCGCCTAACCCCGTTTATACATGTAGCTAAGCACATTAGGTAGACTACCACCCTCTGCAGAATATGGAAACAAATGCTTGCTCGGCGAGGCCTAATTTTGAACAGACAGTTGGCGTCAAGCTTTTCGTCCAAAGTCTACCTAGATCAAAAAGGGCGGAATTCGAAACTGATGTTAGTCATCTAGCCACAGGGAAAAGAAGAAAGGAGCACTGCACCTTGGACGAACCTAATAGAAGCTTAGTTTACAGAAGAGTTTAAATGTTTTAAGCAGCAAAAAGTCTTCAGTCTCATACCTTACGAGTTCGTTGTATCTACGTCTGTTTGATTAGTCAATGGTGAATCTGATCCGCTCAAAGTATTGCATGCTGATTATCGGATTTCTCGCGTGATCTTCAGAGGCCAAAGGTATTGTTCGCATCCAAGGATCTTGAAGTAGATCATCTTACTGTGAAGCAAAGAAAAACTTCATGTATTTATTGATCAAGTATCTCGTATACGTTGCTAGAGAAGGTTATTGCACTATTTGCCTACCCAGGCAGTTTTTCCCACTTCATGCCTACTACCCCGATGATGGAGATGACCGCGACAGCCATCGGCACAGTAAAAGTCTCTTTGAGAGCTTTGTTGTATGCTTCAATGACAACCGGGAGTAGATCCTTCGATATCATATCTTTGAGATTAGTGGCCCCCATATCCGCAATCGTTTGTCCATCAAGTCCTCCTGTGCCATGCAGATGCTTCGTTAAGCCATTAGCAAAGACGGTGTTCGCGACAGACATCAAGATAGCCGGCCCAAGATTCTGGAACAAAGTGACGGCGGCTGTACCAGCAGGTATATCAGGAAGCGCGAGGGTTGATTGGACACCCATCATCGGCTGCTGGGATCCCAGCCCAATGCCCACCCCGGCGATGACGGGGAAAGTGACCCATTTACTTGGGCCGGTATCGAGCTCGAAAGTCGTCATCAAGCCAAGACCGAATGACCCCAACACGGTCGCTATCAGCATGAAAGGGTTGTACCACCCTGTGTAAGTGACCAGGTAGCCGGCGGTTAGAGCGGCGAGAACTTCTCCGCCAACATAGGGAACGAGCTTGATCCCGGATTCTCTGGCAGACTCTCCCTTGATAGCCTGGAACCAAATTGGCAGCCATATATCCGCTGTGTAGTAGGCTGCATCGATACATGCAGCGTAGAAACAAGCGAATGCGATATTCCGCATTTTCATGAGACGAGGAGGCAATGCGGCGTTGTCTCCTTTCCAGATTTCAACACCAATAAAACTGATGAGCAGAATACCAAAGGCAACCAACAATCCAATCATCAGAGCGCTGTTCCAAGCGAACTGGGATCCACCCCACTGCAAGGCTAATAATAGGCATATCATGCAAGCAAAGAATATTGAGAGCCCAAGAATGTCAAACTCCATGAGCTTCTGCTTGAGAGTCCGGGGTTGTCCTTGGTCGGGTTGCTGCGGTGGTCGAAAGCAGAAGAAGATCAATGCCAACGTCGCAACTCCGATGGGTATGCTGACGTAAAACGCCCATCGCCAGGAGAGATGGCTGTTCGTCAACGCCCCCGAAATGAGGGGCCCGATGATGCCGCCGACACCTGAGAATGCGCCAAGAAATCCAGTGTAGACAGCACGTTGACGAATGGGTACACTGTGTGCGAGAACCACCCAGGCGCCGATTATGATGCCACTGCAACCAATCCCAGTGATGGCTCGTCCGACAATGAAAGCAATCGAGTTGGGGGCGCTTCCGCAGACAGCCAGCCCGATTTCTCTAAATGCGATGGCCACCATAAAGGTCCACTTGAGAGAAAAGAGTTCAAAGCATTTTCCGTAGACCAGTTGGAATGAGCAAAGCTTAGTATTTGTTAGTGAGAATGATGCGATTCATGGAAGTTTGGGTCTTACACTGAGCATGTAGGCAGAGCCATACCATCCAACATGTTGCAGGGAGTTAAACTGGTTCGTGATAGCCGGAATAGCGGTAGCAATGAGTGTCATGTCAAGGAAGACCAAGAAAACAGCCATGGCCAGTCCGAAAATGATCAAAACCAGCCTGAGGCCTTCGGGATACTCGACGACTGCATCATCGGTCTCGTCTGCGTTGGCTGCTTCTTCGGCCTCTAAACTAGGCTTCTCGACAGTCGAAAGTACATTGTTTATTTTATCATCAACGATGATTTCTCGTTCTCCGGCAACAGAAGCGCGGTTCGAGCTGCTAGAGGTTGACGGAAGGGAATCTTTCGCGCCCATCTGAATCATTGCCGGCTTCTCTGATTGTAGTGGCGCCATGGTGAGACATATGAATAGACTCAAGATTCTAAGAGAACCATTCTGGGTTTCTTGAGTATATGTATAGAAAAATGCTTGAGAGTACGAGGCGAAGTTTGCAGGAAAATCGCGTCGGGAGCAACTACAGCCGAGTATCAAGCCGTCAGACATTCTTAAACGAGAGAGAACACATTTCCGCTTCCACTCTACGAACCACAACGAGGTGGCAACTTTCCACTGAGAGCCTGAGAGCTGACTGAAGCAGACTTAATGCTCATGCCCATGGATCCTACACAAAAGGCTGCAACGCCCAGCATCCCGGCTAACGGGAATGCCAACCCGCAGAAAGTACGCGGATTAGCAAGACGTCCTCGATGATCTAGACCTGTAACCTGGACGAACCGGAGGGGCCAATCCATCAGCAACGATGCTCCATCGCTCCCATCGGCCGAGCATCCTGGATCCAGACATGCCCGACAGACAAAGGATTGAGATGCCTCGAATAGACACCGGGGAAGCTTGGTTTCCAAGGGAAGCGCCTATTGCGGAATCTTAGGGCGAAACGTAGCAGTTCCAAGGCCTGAGGATAGCCTTGGGTCTGTGAACTCCTCTGTGTCATCATTGGGTTGACATGGGTTGCACAACTCTTAGCGTCAATCCTTGCGGCACAATATTCGTTCAGCCCATTTAGATACGAAGAGATACTCTCAGTCAGGCGTTCACCCTAGACAGAAAGATACCGGAAAAGGAAGCTGCTTACCAGCGGTCTCATCCTTCAACCGGGTCCATTGAGAACGTTTGAAAACCTGCACATCCGAGTGCATCCATCACCTTGATGAGGGAGTTGCTTTTTCAATTGATTGGTAGGATCGGACTTCCGAATCACATAAGTGTGGCCAGTCCTCACCTTCCGGAGAAGGCATAGCCTCGTAAAGTATGAGTCTCGTCTCCATATAATTATTTCGGTTGAGAGATCCCATCTGGTTTCGCGGCTAATTCCAGAATTGATAAGCAGTGAGAAAGGGACTGAAACGTCCACAAAATCAGAGAACCAATCCCGCTTCCTAGCCTAGACAAACATTCAAAGAAGCACATGCCCCACTCTTGAACTGCGTGTTGCAGCTGCAATCGATCACTGCCGACATGGTAAGGCTGCATTGCCGTCTCATCTGAGCTTCAAAGTGAGCCTTGCCGACTTCAAGTTTGATAACTTGTTTTGGTGACTAATAGTCCCGGCCGTTGAGCTTAGCTATGCATTGTGTTTGTTCAACCTAAGCAAATACCAGATAATTGCAAAGATGATAAATTCTGTCTCACAGGGTTGACTTTTACTTCCTGTTCCGTGACTAGCCTCTCTCGTACGTTAGCCTGTCGTCAATACATATCTCGCCCGAGGAATATGGCTAGATTGGCGCGGATGGATCAGCATCCTAACCGTCCCCTGAAACAGGATAGAGGTTGTACACATTCGAGGAAAAAAGTTCCTGTCATCTGTGCCCGATGGTCTCGATTGGTCTCCAAATTTTCAGTATCCTCTTTGTGTCACGAAACCTTCATATGGCGTGGGTCCGAATCCTAGACTGCGGTGTTCCGGCCATCACGAATTCACGAAGCTGACGAATCGCCTACAGTCTGACCTCATTTCATGTGGTTAGCTTTGTGACTATATCAAATCCGGTGAGGCTGTCGCCTACTTACCAAGATTTGTAGAGAGTATCAGGAAGGAATCTTGAAGGATGTGACGAAGCTTGTCCTGCAATAGGACGGAGGTGAGGCAACCACTTTCCCAACACCCCAAGGCGCTGGGCGTTGGGCGTATGTGACCAGGCCCTTACCCTGGGACGTGGCAAATTCAGATGCTCTGATGATGGAATCAGCCTGTTGAAGAAATTTTCGTCTCTGAGGCGCAGTCGAACCTCGGAAGGAGCGTCTCCTCTGTGCCCCTGAGCGATGGTCGATATGTTCATGTTTATTGCGTCAACAAAGACCATTTGGGAGGCGGAAGTCTTAAGAGATAGATGGGCGGCC